TCGCAAGGAAGAATGAGATTACTCTGATATTGCATTTTCAAAATCAAACTGCCGAGGAGGGATCGAGGTAGATTATGCAACTCTCACAAGTTTGCCAGCATAGAGGAGGAAAAGAGGGTCCTGATATACATGAACAATCCCACGGACTCCTCACGTTTTGCAGGATTTCAACAGTGTTACTAGTTCAACTAACTATTGTTCGGTCCCTGTTTACGCTGCTAGTTACATTTGGAAAACTGGCCGTAGCAGCCTTAAAAACAGCCTACTGTCGGGTCAGAACTTTTACTTTGTTTTTCCTAAGGAATTGAGAGCTGTCGCCAAAGGCAGTGGAGTAAAGTATCATTAAGTGTCCCTGATTAGTGTACCACTTTTGCTGCTACAAGTTTTCCGACTCGATTTTGATTGATTGATTTAATCACAAGGTGTACTAAATAAATAAATAAATAAATAAATAAAGAATTCCTAGTACTTACGTCCACAGAGTGGTTTTTCTTCTACAGCGCATCGATCCGTTCGTTCGTTCATTCATAAAATAAATAAATAAATAACGATTTGCAGGTAGCACATCCACATAGTGGTTCTTCGTCTACCTGATTCCTGGTCGAATTGGAATTTGGAAATGTTGGTTTTTAAGGAGAGGGGAAAACCGGAGTACCCGGAGAAAAACCTTTCGGAGCAAGGGAGAGAACCAACAACAAACTCAACCCACATATGGCGTCGACGGCGGGATTTGAACCCGGGCCACATTGGTGGGAGGCGAGTGCTCTCACCACTGCGCCACCATTGCTCCCCACATTCATTCGTTACTTCGATCGTTCTTTCGTTCCTTCGTTCGTTAGTTCGTTAACTTGTTCGTTGGTTCGTTCGTTCCTTCGTTCCTTCGTTCGCTACTCCTTTCACTCGTTCGTTTGTTCATTCACTCATTCGTTCATTCATCCATTCATTCACTCACTCACTCACTTATTCATTTTTTGAAATATAAACAATTTTCTCAAAATATTTCAGTTACAAATTAATTTTTCTTTTACTTAGAATTAGCAAAGGCTGGTCTAGTTGGACAGTGACTTATATTAATACGTAAATACATAACAAAATTTATATGTAATTGAATTTACAAGAGTAATGAAAGTGAACCCAAATAATTTATATACAGGTAAATGTACTGATGAACAATACCAGAAAATAAATACAAATAAAAAGTCAAACAACTGGATAACTAAAATCAAGAAAGATTAAGGGGGCAGAGAGGGAATCTTAGGGCATTAGCCGGGATATGTGAATTTCATTAATAAAAGTTATTTTTAGAGGCTCAAATTAAAAGGAAGTCTAATTGCTGAGACGTCCGCACATTTTCAACGCGTCTGCCTCAAAGCAAACAATGCAGCATCTTGTGATGGCGACTGTCGAATGCTCTCTTGTCAACAAAGAAAAAAAATTACGGTCCTCTCCAGGAGCCAACTTCATATTCATTGCAAGCGTTAACTTGCACTAGAAATAACTTTGGTGAAATTCACACATCTCAAGGTCTAGGCTGGGCGTTTTCCTCTCTGTCCATTTACACTCTCTAGCTGAAATATAAAATGCAAGTAAAAAAGAAGAAGAAGAAGAAGAACGAGTGCAAACAAAATTAGCGAGTGAGTTGGGACGATCAATGTGTGGCAGCATTTTATCTAATACAACGCACTAGAATCTGGAAATGTTGGTTTTCAGCATTGGAACCTACTGTTTGCAGCTGTGTTTGTTGAACCGAGTCAGTGCCTCTTTTTTAAACAGAGGCAAAGTGCAAGACCTCAACAAGTTTTTTTTTTTTTTTCACATGAGAGATTCTGCGGTAGGTGTTTTTTGAAAGTGGAGTTTGTTTTGGAACTTAGAAGAAAGGAACAGTCTCCTGCTGCGGTTAGTGGGTGCAGGCGTAAGAATCGAAACTATTAGGAACTGAACTACATCTAGTATCTAAACATCAAGAGCTATCCATGAATCCCGCCTTCGATTACTCACATCACTTAGTAATTTGCTTTGAACACTATCTCAACAACAGCTCGAATATTGTTATTCCTTGATGAAGAGGTTCTACCCACTAAAGGGTCAGAAGGCATAGTCATAGTATAGGTCACAGCAAAACATACCATAATATTCTTAAATTGCCGTTTGGGTAGGATCAGTCGAGCATTTAGTGCTACTTCTCGAGCATAATTTTAATGACGCTAAAAAGCATAATGCTCAAATTTTCGAGCATAATGTATCTACTAACCCTGGAGCAATTGTTGTTTTGATCTTGAGCAAAACTTCATGCATGGAGTATTTAAATTGTGTAAAATTGACTTGACCAGCCGTCTGATACTGCCATGCATTCTGCACTATTCCAACTGTAATCATTTAAATGCTAGGAACTACTAGTTTTTTGTCCCAAAAATAAGACAGGTTTAGTTATAATGGTTTGGGGATATGTTATTAGCGGTTGAAAACAGGTCCATTATTGTATAAAATCATAATGGTCATGGCCAGCGTTGCAAATGAGCGTTATTTTGTTTGGTTGGGAATCCGAAGCCAATTTAGTTTTCTGGCTTAAAATCGACTTAATTACCATTTGCCACCCGACACTAGCATATTGATATACCGTAAAACCAATGAGTAAACATTACAAGAGATAACGCGATAAATTACTCCACGTAATTCCTGCTTTTGCCAGACAAAATGTCCAGCATGTAAAATTTATAAGGTAAATCTAGTGTACAAAATGTAAAAGAACCAAGGAAGGCTTGTTTATGCTCTTTTGGTGAATCCAAGTTCAACTTACAATTTTTTTATAATTTTTGGTCAACAGGAACAGACTGATGAACTTAAGAAAATGTAAGAGGGCGTGAAGTCGCTTTTTGTTGGGATAAAAAGCAGATTAGTTACTGCCTTTGTGTTAGCATCTTTTGTTAGAATTTTGTTGGTTATGTCATGAACAGTCGTTTGTAAAATCCTTTATATATTTTAATTACCCTGTAAGTAGCTGTCTAACTCGCGAACAATTCTGTTTGGTTTGAGGGTATAATTTAATCCCCCCATTTTCCTTTGACAAAGTGTGGGTATTGAAAATTTCTTAACGTTACCTGCTAATCTACACAAATTTGTAAAGTTGCCAGTTGAATAAATTAATATCAGTATTACTAAAGATATATCTGTTTGGGTCAGTGAATAATACGCAGTAATACAACTGGGTGCGAAAGCCAGAGGATTGTTTTTCACACATAACCACAAAAAAGCTCGACAACGTTAAGCAGAGGGAGGAGCTAGGAAACTGCAAAATGGGAAGCTTTTTTTCTGTGACCAAAAAGGAATGCGACATTAAACCAGTGAACGACAGGCCTATTATTGGTAAGTAAGTAGAAATTGCCTAATTGAAAAAAAAGACATCAAGGTAAGAAGATGGGAGGCCTTTCGTACGCATCTGATGAACAATTGTCATATTCAGTTTAGAGAAAATGAAAGCAACGTTGAGGTAATACCAGAAAAATTTGTGCAATAACAATTCTAAAAACACGTATTAATTCTTTCGTGTCAATTCCGAGTATTGCAAGACTTTCCTTAAACGTAATGTATAAGACAAGCTAAGATTTTCTGTAGAACTAACTGAAACTTGTAAATGGAGTCTTAGACTAGTCATTTCGGGTAGTCAGCAAATCATGTTAATTTGAGAAACAGCGATGATTTAACTTCTAGTACATTTAATGTTAACAAAGACTTATTTGTTTTTAGTGCGCCATGCATTAGTATACACTCGCATCCAACTAACCATTGTTTGTATATCTCACAGGAATAAGCTGAATTGCGGCAAAGCGACTTTCTTAAACATCGCCGCGCATTTCCTAAAAGAACACTTAGCTGAGAAACATCTGATATGAATCATAATTCTACCGTCCAAAAGAATTAGTTTAAACATGAAATTACCTTCGGACTTAATTCTAGTCTTTTAAAAGGAAGTGACAGAAGATGCTAAAAAATTTATAATGTTTATATTCTTGGACACAAACGATTTCAAGGAACATTTGGGGCAACGCTTTCCAACAGGCGGCCATTTACAAATTCCAAAGAACCTCTGATTTTCAAAAGGGGACCAAATTCAAACCTTGTGATTTTGAGTTTTTTTCGATTTGGCGTGATGACTTTTATCCCATACGTACTAAGCATCAGAATACGGCGATTTTAGCTAATCGGACAGGCTCGACTGTCAAGTAATCACAGAGTTTATCAGTTTTGGTGCATTTTGTAAAAGTGCTGTAATCTTGGCAAAGCCAGCCAGCCAGCTCTGGAAACCAGCTGGCTGGCCGGGCTCATGTAATCAGCCCCTATTAGTCCGTAACCAAGAGGACATCGTACTTCAGTGTCGTCATGGGAAGAATCCTTCATGCATTTTGCTCCTTCCTGCTTTATGCAAAAAATGCTTAAAGTGCAAACACTCAAACCAGGACACCTAAAAGAAGCTTATCCAATCACAACGTTTTTGAAAATAAAAGGTTGTCAAGTTTTTCTGCAAACGGACCAATGACATTCATAAATTTGAGGGCTGCTTCCTGAGAGGTCAGGTAAGTTCAAATGGTTTTGAAGTTTTCAACGGTTGCATAGTTGAACTTTGAATTTTATTGGTCCATCTGCAAAAAAAAAAAAAATTCATTCAGAATCTTTTGTTTTCAAAAAACGTCGTGATTGGATAAACTTCATCCAAATGCCCGGTTCGAGTAGTCGCACTGTAATTTGATATAAATAAAAGCAAACTACAAGAGAATTGTGCAGTTAGTTGTAGTCTAGTGACGGTACTTGAAATGACTGACGTTCAATTGGCCTATTGAGTAACAAACTCTCGAGGCAAAGATAATAAAAATTTAAGTTTTTGTAGAGACGGAACTATTCCGTCATCAACGCAAAATTTTCGTTAAATATACGGCGCCATTGACAGACTCCAATTAGCCAGTGAGCCTGCAAAATCACTACTTAGAGTACCTGAAATTTCAATACTATCAAAATATTCCTTTTTAGGGATACTGTCGTTGGACTGCTCGGATTATTTTTCTAAATACGGAAAGTCCTATATAGCAGCATCCTATGTCAAGTTTATCGAAAGTGCTGGCGCCCGTGTTGTGCCAATACGGTATCCTTTTTAACACTCACACTACATAATAGGCGCGGCGGGCTGGAACTGTCAAATTAAATACCAGTTATTAACCGCCAAAAGTGAGGCCATTACAGGGAAATCTCAGACCTAGCCCTTGATGTTTTGACGAGCGATAGCTCCTGTAATAACCTCACTCTCAGCTATACAAGTGGTATGTGTAATGCGACGCGAAAAGACAAACGACGGCAGCGCACACTGTAAAAGACTTATTATAAGAGGATTACGCAATCTTATCCGAAAACTACCGAACATAAACGGGGGTGACCCACAGGTCAGCAAATATTTCCGAGGTTGATTATTGATTGTAGCAAAACGTTTATCATACGGAAAGGAAAATGATGCGTACTTTTGACTACCAACTCACGAATACACCACTTTTTATCAATAAGCTATTCTCAGATAAGCTAAAAGAACATTTATGAGCTGAAAACCTTCCTACTTTAACTGTATAAGTTATCAACGTATCAGAAACATAGCAATTTCCTTAACAAGCCTATGAAGTATTGATTCTTCTAAAGAGGAGCTGGAAGAGTTGTTCAACTCTGTAAATGGGTACGTAAAAATGAAAAAGCAATAAAATTGATTTCATCATATACTTAAATTTTAAGTAATAACATGATTATAGTCTAAATTTTCAACTATATAAATCAATTATCCTCGGATACGAGTCTTTAAAGCCAAGTGGAGAAAACAATAGAGCGTTTTCACGTGACGTCACGGCGGCCATATTGGTGTTTCAAAACAATGAAACGGCGGCCATATTGGTGTCCCAAACCAGTCCTGTGGGAGTTGTAAACGTTTTCTTTTTTTCCAATAAATTTAAGTAAATTCATAGATGCAGGCCACGTGAGTGAAAAAGCTCTATAGCAAATGGGCGGAACAAAAATTGGCAGAATCTTTTGAGTTTGTTAGGCTCTGCTTTAATTTATTTATGATAGTGTTCAGGTAATAGTGTCTGTATGTACTAAACTTTTTTTCTGTTTTAGGCGGACATTGTAAAGGTATCATGGCATTTTGTAAAATTAGTAGCTGTAAATTTAGAAGTGTGCAATGCAATCTGCTGGATGTTCAGTGTTTTTAGTTTTGTAGTGGGTTTACCTTATTCATATTTAGTTGTATTAATTTTTTAAGTGTGAGAAACTAATAAAAGTTTTAACATTACATGGTTGGATATTTTCTCTCACAGAGTTTTGTTTCCCGGAGGAGGTGCAAGCCTGGCTGACTCTGGTTATCTTACGACAGGAAAAATTCTTTACGATCTGGCAGTAAAGGTACGGTTAATCTGGCAATCCCCCACGGAGTGTATTTCCCCTCCGCGATCCTGGAGAGGGAAACGGGATGGCTTAATCTGATAATCGCACTATTTCTAAAATTCGTTATGTTCTGGCAATAAAAGTAGGATATAGTAAATTATCTACTTATCCGTAAAGATGTTGCTCCCAGGGAGTATATTTCCCGGTTGGGGTGCAAGTATGACTGACTGTAGTTATGATCAGTTATCTCAGTAGAGGACAATTCTAAATGATTTTGCAGAAAAGGTAGGGTTCGGTCACTTCTCTTTCTTTGTGTCATGAAGAGGTGTTCCACGAAATTTACTCCTCCTCTGGGGGTGAAACGATAACCGATCCTGGTGACCTGAGAAGGATAGGATAAGTAAGAAAACCCTGATGCCGGAAAAGTCTGAAGTCTGTCGCCGCCTTTTTTTTATCCGAGGGTCGGGGGTTATTGACTTAGACGATCATCCCACTCAAATTGGGTGCATTGGACGACGTTCTAAATCTGTCCATGCCCTGGTTTGGTATCAACCGGTCGAAGAGCTCTTCCACTTACAAAGTCGTTTACATCTGGAATTCACTTCCACCCGAGCAAAAGCTTTCCAAGTTTACACCTACGATTAGGAATATAGCATTAATATTATTAACTATGTTAGATATCTTTAGTTCTTATAATGATCATTATCTGCAGCTGTTTTAAGGATGTACTAAGTTTCGTAATAATTTACAGATAATTAATATACTTCACGTACGTATTTTGAACAAGCTTTTAGCTCATTAGACGGTCGCGTTAAGTGGATAAGTAAACGATTGATTGATTAAATGATAAAATGAGTGATTGATTGAATGATTGATTAATTAATTGGCCGATTGAATGAATGATTGACTGAATCAATCATTGATTAATTGATCGAATGAATAAAGGATTAATTGATTGATTGAATGCATGATTGAAAGATTAATTGATTGATGGTAGGATTGATCGATTGATTGATGCTTCGACACTAGGCCTGTGACTCTGGAGACAGATTTCCGCTGTGGGGAGCTTGTCTTGGGTTTGAAATGTTAAACGTTTTAACAAGCGACAAAGACCAGGACGAAATACTAACATCGTGTGACGCCGAGAACTATTCCATACCGCTGGATTTTACATCAGGTAACATAGGTAGCAAGGCTAAGGAACGGTTTTAAGTATGTCAGGTTTGTACTTCTCTTACAGTCGAACCTCCACGTACGACCACCTCCCATAAACAACCACCAATCCAAAACACCAAAATTTTCACAGTCAAAGCCTTACAGTTGGAACCTCTAGTGAATGACCACCTCCTGTCAGCAACCGCGACCCCTTTTTACGGGAGGTGGTCATTTACAAGAATCCAACAGGGTTAGATTCTTGTAAACGACCACCTCCCGTAAGCGACTATTCAGTCTTTACATTTTGGGTGGTCGCTTACGGGAGGTTCCTTTGGTCATGATCATTTATTAAGGTGACTGAAGTGGAGACGCCATACTTATTTTCGACACCTCGTGATTATTACACAACCCTTCACTCCTGGAAGGTCAAAAGGATAAAAGTTTGTTACAAGTGGAAAGTGCTTCTCGTTTACAGGCACTTTACTCAAATAATTAAGAACAAATAATCCAAACAGTACATAACAGGATTAACAACCCAACCTGCAAGAGGCAACCAGTTGGCTGTTTACATGACTAAGCTAGGATTTAAACTCTGGGCGAAACAGAGAAAATACAGCAACTGGGCGGAAGGACTCGAACCCGGAGCCGCCAGATGGTGAGTCCAACGCGCTGACCACTGAGCGACGCGACCTTCTCACTTCTCTGCTGGAAGCGCACATTATTAAAATGCGAAACATCAGAGAGAGAGAGAGAGAGAGAGAGAGAAAGAGAGAGCCAGTTGGTCAAGGGGTATAGAGTTTAGCAGCTTAGCACAGTGACAAGGGTTACGCTACGTTTTCATATAATTTTTTAACTATTAGTCACTTACAGGTTGGTTGACAAAAAAGTGAAGGCTGAGAACTCGATCAGCGATTGGAAAATGGGACATATTGCTTTTGTTTCATTATAGATGCTTGCCACAGCAAAATGTTTCGTTCAGCACCTGCAGATATCATGAAAACCCTCAAAGAACAAAATGTTACTTTGAACAACCACATAAAATGTATTCCTGTAGAGGTAGGTACCAGACAAAAATGTTTTTGTGATAATCCTGTACAGCCAAACAACACAAGTAGATTAATCATGAATTAACAATAATAATAATAATAATTCTTTATATGTAGAAGACGAAGAATTTCAGTGATTGCTAATTATCCATGCCAGAGGCTCTCGTTAAAAATACTCGACAAATTTATAAATCATTAATATTTAAAAAAATAGAAAACTAATAATACAAAATAAAAACCAGTTCACATAAGAATCTAGCATAACCCAATATTTTAAAAAACTGAGTTACGCTAGATAGCATAAATGAGGAAAGTGTTCATACCGTATTTATTCGAACAAACGCCCAAACTCGAATTAGCGCCCACCTCGAATAAGCGCCCATCCTAAAGGTAGAAAAAGTTAATAAGCGCCCAACCTCGAATAAGCACCCACCCCTCCTCCTCCCAATCAAACTCAAATAAGCGCTCACCCCCACCCCACCCACTTGAGTGAATAAATTCTAATAAGAGACTTCCCCGAGGACGGAGCTTTCTTCAGAGTATTTTACAGAAACCTTGCTTTGCTACCTCTTCGCGTTTTGGTATTAGCATTTATTGTTTTGTTGCAAAATAAACACACTTCACTTGCTAAAAATGGTGAAAATTTAATAAGCGCCCAGCCTCGAATAAGCGCCCACTCTCAAGGTCCAAAAATTTAATAAGCGCCCAGGGCGGTTAATCGAATAAATACGGTAATCCGTCTCTAGCGGGAAAACGACCATTAAAATTTGACGGGTTGAGTCACGCCACTGCCCCGCATAAATTAGGAATTACTTGTTTTCCAAACTTCAGAACTCGAATGAGATCAGCGATGTTTAGTCACGAAAAATGGAGGCATTTTGGGGTAGTATAAAGTGGTAAACTTGTCGAAGCGATATACGGTTGAGCTGTCTGCAGAGCAGCTAGCCAAGCTTGAGTGTTGAAAAGTTGCTAACCGAAGAGTACGAACAGAAATTGACGGTGTACCTGTTGTTTACTTCAGTTCAAGTCTTGTATTTCCTCCTGAACGCCATTCAGCTTTATGAACTACGTCAAGAGCCATAATAGGACAGCTGTAGAAATTGTAGAGCGTAATAGGACAGCTGTCCTATTATGCTCTACAATTTCTAGCAAGTTGTCTCCGGCTTCAGAAGTCAAGTACTTTTGTTCAGTTTCCTCTGCTTGAGCTTTTTAATCTAGACAGGATGCAAGTCTTGCATCAGCACTCTGGCGATTTTTCTTACTAGACAGAAAGTGAATCTTTTGCGAAACTAAACTAAAGAAAACCATCAGAATTCGCTCGGCAAATGAGCGTGTCTTGCATAAGTTAAAATTTTATGTGTCTGTTCTCCTATTGCTCATAAAAATCAGCCAATTAGCGCGCGAGAAATAATTTAGTTATTGTGAAATAGTATATCACTCCCTCATTTTGGAAAAATTGAGGTGGCAAAACAACAACCTCGTCCCCAGGACTTTTAGGTTTGCGAAACACAGATTAAACATGTTCAATACCGAAAATTCCGAAAGTAAGCCCCTCCAAATATAGGCCCCCCAAACTCGTAACGCAAAAAACTCTCCGTTAAGTCGCCCCTCCAAATATAAGCCCCCTGGGGAGCTTGTACTTGGAAATTGCCCTCAAATACAGAGTGAATCGATTTTGAAACGCAAATTTCTCTCCGTACTTTTGAGCCCCTCCGAATATAAGCCCCTCCAAAAATAAGCCCCTCAAAAAGGGCCTTTGAAAAATATAAAGTCGTTTTTTTGCAGAAATTCTGGGCAGACAAGAAAATTTCTGAATTCTTTTATGTTCTTTCAACTAACAAAGACAGAAAAGGCTTGGAATTTATCTCCACCATTGAAGGTACAGTAACAAAATAACGACTCCTACAGTCACTACTGGATTTGAGATTCCAATTGAATCCGTGCGAGGTTGGTCTTCTATCGAGAAGACGTTTTAGTGGGAGAATATAGAGAGGGTGGATGTACAGGCGGGGTTTTAGCAAGTGCTTTAAACAGATAAGTGGGGGGGGGGGGGGGGGGGGAGGGAATAATGAAACATCACAAAGTTTTGATTCTGATTGTTGATGCACAGTGTTGCTGGATGTCTGGGATAGGTTTTTTTTGAAAGAAGGTTTTTTTGGGGGGGAGTGGTGTGGGATGGTGGTTTTTCATGGGGGGGGTTGGGGAGTTGTTGTAGGAAGGGGGGGGGGGGGGGGGGGTTGGGGAGAAGGAAAATACACCATTCCACGATTTTTTTCAACTTTTAACTATGACCAGGGCCCAGTTGTTCGAAGGCCGATTAGCGCTTCAAAAGTAGTTTCTCGGATAATCAGTTTTCTCTGTTATTTTCAGAGCATCCAATCATCAACTTATAGACAAAAAGAATTAAAACTGAAATGCTTTTTAAGCTTTCAAATCTGAATTCAAATCTCGCACTAACAATAGGTTATTTTAACCCAGCTTTGAACAATTCGGTCCAGATGGTTAAATCAGTCAAGTTACCAAGTTCAAGAGTGAGTTATTGCAAACTAACAAAGATATAGCTTCGCAAAGTCGAGTCTTCACAGACGTTTGAATGGTAGGGCGCAGATACGAGTAGTGACGCCCACTCAGACATTTTAGGCGGGAAGCACTTTCTTGCTAGATGTCATGTGACCTTGAAGTAACCAATCGGGGAATGGGCGCTCTTGTTCATTACATTGCGCGTTCTTTTTCATTACAAAACCACAGGTAAGAAGTATCCGTTTTTTGGGACCCAGTGGCATCCGGAAAAAAGTCAGTTCGAATGGGAGCCTAAAGAAGCCATTGATCATTCTCCAGATGCCATTCGCATAGGGCAGTACATGGCCAACTTCTTCGTCAATCAAGGTATAAATAGTAACACACCTAGCATATTCTTCTAACTTAAGTTTCACGCAAAATCATTTTCCCGCCCGCGACATCGAAACCCGCACCCGCGACTTTCGACTCGCATCCGCGACATCCAACTCGCACCCGCGACTTCCAACCCGCAACCGCGACCCGCGAACATTAGTAAAACTCCATTCTTACAGTCTGTTTTCGTAAGATCCACTCTCACGAAGGACTTTGCGCGACTTTGTCTCTCAAAGTGGTAAAGTCGTGAGCAATTATAACCAGGAACGAACTTGTCTCTCACCGAAACATCCCGCTTATGCGTCTTCTAGCTCGAAAAGCAATGATGATGATGTGAGCGTTTTTATCAGTTAAGATACACTCGCATGCTTTAGGCTATAGTTTTAGATTGAGTTGGGAAAATGATTGGGGTTGACTCAACTTGATTCGCAAAGGAATGTGTCTGCATATTAAAGTTATAGCGCGAGGTGATAGCTATCTTTGGGGACGGGAGAGTGAGTATAACTTTGGAATTACAGTGCAGTTGTATTCTGTATTCTCTTCTCAGCTCGAGGTAACACGCACAAGTTTTCCACTGAAGAGGAGGAAGAGAAGGCGCTTATTTACAAGTACAATCCCACCAATACTTCAGAGTATTCCACATTTGATCAGTGTTACTTTTTTCAATAGTTTTCTACTGTTTGGCAGATACACTGTCAAGGCAAGGAGCATGGAAAATGTTTGTGGCATTACATATGGGGAGGCTTTTAATCAAGTGTGGGCAAAAAATTTTCTTGAATTTCCTTTAATTCATTTTCACTGTTGTCGAGTGTTAAAATCACAGCCATAACGCAAAATGTATACCACAACTTGAAACCACGAACGAGGGTGCTTTAATCTATCAAAATCCATCGTCAAACCTTTCTGTCCTCAGGGTTAGGCAAAACGTCCCTAGCTCCCGGACTATAAGGATTTTAATCAAAGCTTAAGGCTTGTGCCTTTTGCAACAGCTAGCACCACATTAAAATGCTTTGGACTGAATGAATTCATATCTCGTGGTTTACTTGCATCCTTGGTTCAAATTTATATTACTTTGTAATGGGTACATCGTAAAGTGTGATAATAAGTTCTAGACAAGGGAAAGTAAAACTGGATACTAAGATTAAACTGAACTACAAAATGGACAAACTCTAAACAAGAAAGAGAACTTTCTGGCGCGGAATTATATGCATTACCACAGGAAAGTACCACTTATTCGATAAACAGTTGAGATAAAATCAGTTTTAGTATTCGTCTGTGGTGACTTTTTTTTTCATCGTATGAGAGGCAAAAGGGCAAAAATGGGTAAGGGTATTACAGACTTACAGGCTTAGGGCCCCTTGGGCTTACCACAGGAGAGTACACTAGTTTTCTTAGTCTCAAGTATGCTAACCATTTGCATAAATTTGAGCTTAACATAATGACACAACTGTAAACATTTGTAATTGCGGTCGACGAAAGAGCCCGCCACCTATTCTTGGTCAGCGGCACTTTTTTCATTGTATAGCGAGATTTTTCTCGATCTGTTCACATTCCTCTGTTGTACCGACTAATATGCATGGTATGAATGGTATGTTGCATCGAAGGCCCTTGTGTTGAGTTCAAGGTACGTCTGATGTCACAGTACAATCACTAGAATGCACATTCAAGTGTTTCAACAATCATTATTACACATTCGATTCGGCACACGTAATTCAGGTACACAAGTACTGCACTAAATGGGCGACCTTTCGATTCGCCTTGCCGGCCTAGAATCTATTTACCCAGGAAGATAAAAGTAGAGCCTGATCTCAGCTTAGTGCGGTACAAGTTTTCGGTAAGATACGAGTGTTAGCAAAATCTAGAGATCGATGTAAATTATAAAGTTTATTCAGATTTCACTACAGTGCATGGTTTTTCAGGGCTTTATATTTTTATAAGTTTTCAAGCATGTTGTGTCGCCTGCCATCCGAAAGCGTTAATAAGCTTTGAACTCCGGTGGTAATTTAACTGTTTCATTATTTTGTATCGCATATCAACGGCCTTTGGTCATTGAACACGGATTGAATATTCGATTGAATAACAAGACTTCGTGTATGACTTCATATCCGCATAACCTGTTTCAATGTATCTTTGCCGGCGAATAAAATACAAACGTCTTTTCTCGCTGATCGATCGAGAAATATTGCAAGCTAATTGTATCTAAGCAACTGCAAATAAACTTGTTGAATTAAATAACTACATGAGTCTTGTTTATATAACCCGCAGTAAAGGCATTCACCTACGTATGAAGGCGATTTCCCCCACACTTCCTAGCCAATGGCTACTGCTAGTTATTAACCTGGAAATAACAGTTTTAGGTTTCCCCTCCATGTCATTCATTTATCAAGTTTTTATTGGGTGTGAGGAAGGTAAACCTCGGTCGTTATTATGGCGTAAAGGCGTGAATAGTGTGTGCGCATGCTTTGTGAGATCCTTACTATAACGTAATGATCCCGTTTGAGCCTTCTTCGCATGAGATTCGGTCATTTGCTGTTTATCCCCTTGAAAAAACAACAAGTCAATACAGTGGCTGTTAAGGGGCTGTTTACATGGAGGTGGGGGGACCCCAGGTAGGTGATCCCCACTTAGGTGGGGTAACCCGCCTGTCAATATAATCTTTCAATCAATCTGTCATGTAAACGTGAACAAATTGAAATGAGAGGTTATATAAACAGGCAGGTTACCTCACCTAAGCGGGTTACCTAACCTACCTGGGGTCCCCCATCTCAATGTAAACAGGCCCTAAATTTCCCGCAAAAAAGACGCGTGGCACGCGGCAAGTACTCCTGGGTAGCAACCTTATGGGAGACCATTTTTACCTCGGTAAGTAAAACACCACGATTAATATGATTAATATATCATCAGAAGGACAACTCGCCCACACAAGGCCGGGATTTATAGCGTTTAAACAGAAAAGCTTGAAATCATGTTATCTTTAATTTTCAATAAGCACCTACAAAAACAAGATAGCGACAACAGTAGTAGTATCTGAAATCTACTAATGTTAGTTCAAAATATGACAATTTCATACTTTAAATAAAGCGTTTTTAGTTACAAGAATGCGCTGCATGTCTTAAATAAGCTATAATTTATACCTCACTTGAAGAATTTAGCTTTCAAAACAACTGGCAACGATAAATTTTCCTAAACAAAATCAAACTACCGTGAGTACGTGGATTTGAAGAATTTTATGAAAAGAATTTAAAATATTCTTCTGGCGTAAAGTTACAAAATAGAATTTTTTAAATCACCAGCATCGCACCCAAAAACGGCTGTATAACGAACCGTTTTGGTTCAATCAACTGTTAATTTATCAATCTTTTGCGAGAGTTTAATAATCGATTTGTGTGCTTTTGGTTCAAATGGGTAAAATGTAACAATGCCAGCTGTATACTTTTTCAATACCAGGGTAAAAAACCCTTAGATTTTGTGACTCCTTCTGTCTAAAAGTTTGTTTAAGAATAATAAAAATATTAAATATGTTACACGTAAACAAGTTTCAAATAGCCCGCCTTGCGTTCGGTTTAACAATACATAAATACTACATTATTTACAATACTGTCACTTGTGCAAAATATCTTCTCTATCGTATAAATTAGTCAATTGTCATTTCAAAATTCTAATTTAAATTTACTTTTACCTCAGTTTTATTTAATTGGCTACTTCCAATTTTCAAATAATGGAGATCAGAAGCGGCTAAAGACACTTCTCCGAGCTCTCAGCTCAAAAACGAATTTTCACGTGAGTTTCGAAGGCCAAACCTGGCCAACCAAAACAGGCAAAGAAGACACAATCAACCAATCAGAACGTGAAGCCAACAAGGGTAGCCCGCGACAGTGGCGGGAAAACACTCGCGAGAACCTCACTTTGTTTTCGGATTGGTTGGCAAAATGGCCCTTGTAGGAGTTATTGGGATACGGGGTATTTATCTAAAATACTAAAGGAATACGGAATATAAATGAGGTCCAGGATATCTACCTAATAGTTAGCTTCCAAAATATTGAGCATCAAAGTTCTCGGTTTTGGAAAACAAAAAAATATTATTTAAAAAGTGTAGAATTTATAACAGTATGAAAGGCGACAATATATAAAAAAGACTGTTATAAACTCGACTGTTTGTATTTTCTGTAAGAAAGGACAATATTGCCCCACTCCCCCCTTCCCCGATAATGGTACACAAAATGATAGTATCAGTATCAAAAGCTTGCATGACGGTTGAGCCTGCGGTGCAACCTTTTTTTAAAAAAAGGCAAAGGATGATTTTGAGGGTTAAATAAGACAGAATTAGCATTTCCCCTGTCAAAATCGCTAGCAGCTGTAATAACAGCTGCGGAAAATGCAGGGATACACAGCGTCGGAATTATGGGGATAAGGGACATTTAAGCAAAACAAATAACGGGATGCGTGATGCCCGAGCTTTCCTTCACCCCATTACGGGGCTTCAGGTATTCAGCCAGTCAAAAAAGAGAGGCAATGCCGAATTAAATTAAAACCGAGTATCTTCGATACTCAATAGAAAATCACCCCATTCATACATTTTATAGATAAAACCGACACATTGCTTTATGTTACCAAAAACCGATTATTTTTGTTGTACACAGATCTCCGTTGACCTTCATTTGCGGCTGCGGTGGCGACTTTTTTATGAGCTTGCGAGTTTTCGTTGCTATTTTGACGTTTATATCCATTCAATTCCCTCTCAGCTTTCTATGAAAGAACAATACCGGATAAAATTAAATAAAAGAATGGCTGGCCTGTCAATAGTCCGAATTTAACCGTTTCACGTTGCAAAGTTTGAGAGTAACATGTTGAAAGCTGACGTAGATATGGCTCCGCATAAAGGTAAAATTTTACAGATTTCTGTACGGTGGGGTGGGGTAGAGTAAGTTTCCCCCACCCCCATCCCCACCCCCACCCCCAACTAACGTGTCGCCGTCTCCTCTCCCCGAAGAAGAAAAAAAACGGCGCGAGGGACCACCCCTACCATATGAACGTATATAAAATTCCGCAGTTTTGCAGAGCTATATCTTCGCTCGTTTTCGGCATATCATTCTAACAGGTGGGAAGTATTAACAGTTTACTTAATACAGCGTCAATGGAGTTCGCTAATTGGTGCATGTCAAAGGTTAAAAAAAAAACTTAAAGTGAATAGTCTGTCGGTGCTCGTAACTCAGTCTTTTTCCGTAATCGTTTAGAGGCGTACCATGCTAACTAAGAGAGTTAAATGGACTATAATTTTGAAGCGGTTTTCTTTATTTCCTCTCGTTATTTACTTTTCGCGATTCAAGGGCGGAACCTAAGCACAGCGTGTGTCTCGACAAAGATTTTTGTCATTCTTTTCCCTTTCTTGGCATTTTACCCTTTATTTGCAAAGTTGACCCTTTCCTACAAGCTTTGCGAGTTTCTACGAGACACGTTTTCCTCACTAATAACATTGACAAAAGTATCTAATATTTTTGACATACCTTGTAAAGAGCTATGAAGTCGATGAAGGCTTTAAAGAAATCCGACGGTTCTGCAACTCGAGGGTTTTCAGCGAATAACGTACAGACCTGCGCGTACACTTCTTCCATCTTACGGTAGCGCTCTGTGAGACGCTGGACTTTCTTGAATGCTGCGTTGTAGAACGACTGAATGAAACATTGTGTCAAGGAAGCAAAACAAATCTTGAAAAGGAATTTGGGGTAAGTACGCGTTCCCAATAGTCAGCTAAGTCTGGCACAGTGCTATTTGTTTTACGTTTCTATGTTATTTTTACCAGCAGATTTGAATTTTGTTTCTTTTCACGCCAAAAAGTGAACCTCTTAGTTGAAGACACATCTTGCACTGATTAAAAGACTTTTTTCAATAACACCGCATACAAAATAGAAATAAAAACGGCAAATGCTAAATTGTAAAACAGAATGAAAAGTATAAAATGCAAAATGCGAAAGGCAGAATGAAAGTTATGCAAACTGGAGAATACAAAAACTTGACACACAATACTACGTACAAGTGGTGTACTAAGTTCAGTGACATTACATAAGGATACAAAGATAATATAGTTGTCTGGCTGTTTGTCTCTCTCAGTCTTAGTCAGGTCCAGGCCCTTTCGCAATCCCTGCACGTCAGCCGCCAGTGTTTGCATGGACACTGGTGAAGAAAAACAGTTAATTAGTCGAAAAGAACTAACAAACTAACAAAACATCGGGTTGTCGGCAAATGACAAACTGGTGATTATGGTTAGCGGTTTGCGCTCTATCCGACAAAAATTAAAATATAATGCAAATCTATGGGAAAGTAATTACAGTTCCCTCACGTTGAAAGCGTTGTAAAGGTGACAAGGCCATATCTACCGTTTGCTTTGTAGTGTACAATCGATGCCATGCATCAGATCTGAAAACAATTTGAGGCCTTCCAAACGAAGAAAGAGAGTCGCCAAAACGCTACGGTTTGAAGTCTGTTTTTTCCCCCTAATCGTTCGTTTCAAACTATTTTGTTATGAGAATGATATCGTAATTAATCAATTTTAAATAGTTCTTGAATACTGAAACACTTTTGCGCAAAATGAAATCCTAAACAACTGGTGAAGACTTCTTCACAAAAACTTTAGTAAACATGAGCCTCGAAAGTGTATGTTTCGTGAAAAATTGTTTCTTCGTAAGAGAATCCAATCTCAATAAATTATTGGCAGGCGATTCCTTTAGATCGATAGCTAGGTCTGAGAGTATATGGTTTAGAGAAAGTTATCACTCTTTCTCTTGTACAGATAAAACAAATTCGGAATGATCTTCACCTGTAGTTGCTCCGTCAAGATAAAGTTCCTCGGCGAAGTCCTGAAGATCAGGAAACCTTTTCTGTACAACGCTAACAATGTAGCTAAGAAACGTTTGTTTTCTGTCTGTCGTACGAGTGTCTTCCAACTGCAAATTAAAACAACTGACCTATCAGTGGCATCAACTGGTGGACACACAACTTAACCCATGGCAGAATGGGCCACTTTCAAAGAAAAAAAACGGTGAAAACGGTGAAACCTTTTCAAAACGGTTAAGTGCAAAACCTTACTTGTGAAAATGAGGCTTATTTGTATGAGAATTAAAAATCGTTTTCATATCAGTGGCTTCGTTCTTAGCCTCGCTTTGAAATAGAGGCTTGGGGCAAGTCGGTCAAAACCGTAAAAACAAAAACAGTAACACAGGAAAGATGTGCTGTTCAGTAGCTTTCATTAGAATGGTCACACTTTAGGATTTCATCCACAGCTTGAAAGTTAGAGCCACCTTGTGCAGCGTACTAAACAGTACCACAATAAACTAGTGGTTAGTAGCTAGCTTTCAATTGAATGGTCACTCAGAAATATTTACCCCCATCAAAGACCTCAGACATCCTGATGTATGAATAAATCAACATCCCACCTTGTTAAGAGATTCCAGTTTAAATCCATAGGCAACCCCTCTTCTGCCGCTGTTCATGTAGTTCCCATATATCAGTATTAACTAAAAACCAACAAAAATTGAAAAGTGTTGCAAATGTGCCGTTTTGCGTTTAACGTAATTCAGGCACTAACATGCAGCAAGATGTTTCCCGCTGATGGAGACCAAAACGTTATGAATGCCGTTGACATGGTATTTCTTTAAAAACTATGGTTTCTATTCCGCTTCCAAGGAAAACAGTTTTATCACACGCTTCCAGCATCATCGTCTGTGTGTCTGTGTGTTTGTGTGTGAGGGTAGGGGGGAGGGCCCCCCTTTTTTATAGGGGGCTTGTCTAGCAAATTCTCGGGGCCCAAAATTTTAATCCGGTTTTCCTTTTTTTTTTTTTCGTTCACAAGCATTTTCTCTCAAAATTTTCTTATTCTTTTTCGAGCATCTAGCCCTCAAATTGTACACAAAAAGAATTAAACTGAACTTGCCTTTTTAAGCTTCTAAATCTGAATTTAAATTTCGCACTAATCCAGGTTTATCTCAACCCAGCTTTGAACAGCCCGGCCCAGATTAGCAGCAAGATTAGTTAAAGCGACTTTTTCATGAAATGAATTCTAGCGAATATTTGTTTGACTTGTAGCCCTGGGAAAAAATCTTTACCTTGAACAACTTTTTAAGTTTAGCACTGTTGACAATCGATGTTGATGCTCGCAACACAGCATCCACTTGCTGAAAACAAACAGAAAATTCAGTTTCGCAGTTTAATGCATTCTGCACCGTCTTTCTGGAAACGTTTCCTTTTTTAACATTAACTGTTTACTTCAAGGTATCCTATTCAGAAGCTTACGCAACTGCTATCACTTTGGGACCTGGAAAAATTAGATAAATAACTAAGACTGTACAGTATAGAAACTACTACGGGTAAAATGTTTATCCCCGATCCAGCCGAGAAATTTGGTAAACAAGTGATTGTAAGTCCGTCCGTCCGCACCACGAGGCAACCAATATGAAATCTCACACCTTCTAGCTAGTGTAAGAGCCTGCAACCTGACATTGCACACCCATTTTGTGGCCAACTAACAGCTATTAAAACAGGGTATCCGCTGACCAGTATCATATGACCGTATCGCGCGCTCAAGCGTCGACCCATCGAGGTATCGTTTTTTTTTTAAGTTATCCGCTGACAAGTTATTAGTTTTCGACTGATCGCAGGCTCAACCCTAAGTGGATTTCCTTGCAATGGTAGCAAGTATGTATATTGTTTGAAGTAAATTATAAATTTATTATCCACAGCTTCGCCTTTAGCCTTGGCTAAATCTATTTAGTATATACTAAAACAGTGGATAGCGTTTTTCGCGCGCTCTGATTGGCTACTCAATCAGTGAATATCCTGCACTGTTCACTGATTCACCTCCAGTTCCTCCGAGTGAGCGACGCCAAACTCGCGAAAGTTGTGAGCAAAATGCTTTCCCGGTTTGCTGCCGTAAACAAACAAAGAAATTTCACAACTAATCAAGCAAGCTGTTTCCGAAATACACGAAGAAGGTGACGAAGTTCGGATTGGAAGTTTGAACAGGTAAAGCTTCGTCTTTTTGACACGAATTTATCGATAAAACCGGTGAAAAAGTTTTTTGTTTACAAATGCAAATTAAGTTTAAGTCTTGCGTTACTTTATTTAGTTGAGTTGTTCATAAATAAGCTTAAAACTAAGTTAAATAATCTTTTTTTTATAAAAGAATTCACAACTCCTTTTGAAGAAATTTCCCCGCAAGAGCTAAACCAATGCCTTCAAAAGTTTTAATTGTCGGCAAGAAAAAGCGGAAAAAGCGACGGCCGCGGCCGCCAGGTCATTACGCGCCAAAATTGTAAGCGTTGGCAACAGTATTTGAGTTAAAAATCACCATTTTTGTGCTCAATTATCTCACTGTTTTAGTATATACTAAAACAATTATTCACCTCAGTGTCGGTGGCTAGTCGTGGATATTTACCTCACTGCTTCGCAGTTCGGTAAATATTCACGACTAGCCACCTCCACTTCGGTGAATAATTGTTATATATTATCGTTTATATCGTAATGATTATTGTTACTTTACATTTTGCTTTTGCTTTACGACATTAATTTAATAACTCAAAATGCTCTAACAATAAAAACAACTTACCGGCACGACAGTCCTCATCAATTCATCGAACACACCAATGAACGCCATGACACTCAGCTTAGTCTCATATCTCTCCACCTTGGCAATCTGTTTTTGGAGGGAAAGACAGTTGTTTTATGCTCGAGTAACCTTTACTTGACAAGTTTTGCCCGCTCGGTCGTGTCCCCATTGACGCAACCTTTTCTGCGCAAAAAAGTACTCTAAAGTGTCTAAAAAAAACTGGTCTGAACACCGTAATATGGTTCAAGTATGAGAGACGTTCCCTCGTGCTACCAACAAGTTAATTACTCTTCTGATGACAGAAAAATTTAAAATCCCATTGGAAGTTGTCATGTCAGAAAAATCGATTTGACTGTTTTGTTTGAAAACAAACAAGTTAACATCAAATGAATTGTTTCTGATGAGTTTAAGTCTAAGATCAGTTGGATGTTGAACTCTTCACGTTTGAACAGAATTCGAAATTCCGAGAGAATAATTAATTAACTAGGAATTTTATTTTGAAAGTAAGTGCTGGCATCTGAGCTAGAAGACAATATGGAGAATACAGTTTGAAAATAAATAAAGTGAAGAAAATGAAAAGTGACACCTGGAAATTAGGGTGGGTAAGCCTTTTTAAAAGAGAAATATGTTATTTCTGTGTATAACCTGGTTTGTTTGTGATGTATACAGGGGGAAAGCCCTTCGAGTAAATTTCGAGAGTGCAAGCAAATGATTAACGAGGCCTGGGATTTTATAAATTACTTGTTTATATTTTTTAGATTTCTTTATTTGCCTATTGAAATAATTTCATCGAGGTCACGAACGGATAAGTGAGGAATCGCGAGGAAGACAAGATATTTTTAGGTGTTAGGTACAGTCGAACCTCGAACGAACCCCTATACAATGAAGTCCTCGGTATAACGAACGATTTTCTTTGTCCCGATAATAGTGAAATATATGAAAAAGAACCTCGACATACGAAACCTCGTTCTTCGCGTTTAAGTGGTTTTGAACTATATTCTCGTTGGGTGCCCCTGTATTGTAGAAAATAGTGTGCTGGCTCGCATAAGGCTCGCCAGCAATGAACGGTCTAATATCACAGAATATTTATATGACTTATAACAATTTCCGTTTCAATTTTTTTTTCTCGTAGCCTTTTCAAAAAGTACTGTAGTTTGGTGCGATTGTAATATTAATTTTGCACTTTTCTTTTTGAGTATATTTTGTAATTTTTGCTGTTTGAATAAATGAATGTAAATGAAAAAAATAAAAATAATAAAAATAAAAATGGGAGATGTTCGCTCTGAGTTGTTGGCTCCTCGGCGAAGGAATACAATGGGCACTTACGTGTAGACTATGCAGACAAAACGAAAAGACACCACCTTAAGGTGACTCGACCCAGTTTTTTTTGGGGGGTACCATCCTACTTTGAAGCTCTCTGGTATCCCCACTTTTACTTTTATCGTAAGTCTAACAAATATAACATAAAAATTAATATAATATAACATAAAAATTTTGGCGATCGGAGTAAATGTCACGTGGTTATAATGCCACGCCCCTTTGAGGTCTGAGTCGAAAATCTGCTGTTGTCGGCATTTTTTCGTGAAAATCTCTCGGCTACACATAGTGCGCATTAGTGCCTTGCGCTGAACAGAGTTTCACCAAAATCGCAAAGACCCAATTCGAGAAATTCAGCGGTTTCCAAATTTAGGTCATAATTTATGCGAAAATGATAAGCAAACTTTACACGGATTATATCTAATAAACTATGAGATTCATCTCTTTATTTTGGGCATCGTTATAACAGATGGGTCCTTGCAAGTCAGCAAAACGCTTTAGGGCCTTGTAAATGCGCGCGATTTCGAGCAAAGCAAACATATAGAAATTATAGTTTTCGCTATTTGTTGACGTTTGTCAGCGTTTAAGAGTCCTTCTCACGAAAAAAGCATTTTCTTAAAAATTCGTAGTTTTTTTTCCTTCAAATTTTTTCAGGGCCACAATTGATTAACTAACTACCCGGACTCTGAATTTCATGGTCATTGAAAAACTGTGACATTATCTTCTATAAGCCCAAACTTGAGTAAACATTGAAGATTTTTAGCGTTTTGGCTGAGTTTGTGCTTTGGGAGTTGTCTATTGTTTCTAGTCTGTCATTATACAGCATTCTTGTTCAGCACGCGTGCAATGACCACGCTTGGCTGACTTCCGAATGCTCACCGAGATATTCCCGTCACGAGTTGGTTTAATTATTGGCTTGCATTAAACCTATGAAAAAATGATATTTTTTTAATAGTAAGTAGATTTAGTGTGTAGCACTTCTTGATTTTTTTGCAAAGGCACAAGAAGCACGAGAATTGATTAAAAATTGTGACTTAAACCTCTATGTATCACGCGATGGCCTGTCTCACTGTACCAAAATTATTATATCTCGGTGAGCATTCGGAAGTCAGCCAAGCGCGGTCATTGCACGCGTGCTGAACAAGAATGCTGTATAATGACAGACTAGAAACAATAGACAACTCCCAAAGCACAAACTCAGCCAAAACGCTAAAAATCTTCAATGTTTACTCAAGTTTGGGCTTATAGAAGATAATGTCACAGTTTTTCAATGACCATGAAATTCAGAGTCCGGGTAGTTAGTTAATCAATTGTGGCCCTGAAAAAATTTGAAGGAAAAAAAACTACGAATTTTTAAGAAAATGCTTTTTTCGTGAGAAGGACTCTTAAACGCTGACAAACGTCAACAAATAGCGAAAACTATAATTTCTATATGTTTGCTTTGCTCGAAATCGCGCGCATTTACAAGGCCCTAAAGCGTTTTGCTGACTTGCAAGGACCCATCTGTTATAACGATGCCCAAAATAAAGAGATGAATCTCATAGTTTATTAGATATAATCCGTGTAAAGTTTGCTTATCATTTTCGCATAAATTATGACCTAAATTTGGAAACCGCTGAATTTCTCGAATTGGGTCTTTGCGATTTTGGTGAAACTCTGTTCAGCGCAAGGCACTAATGCGCACTATGTGTAGCCGAGAGATTTTCACGAAAAAATGCCGGCAACAGCAGATTTTCGACTCAGACCTCAAAGGGGCGTGGCATTATAACCACGTGACATTTACTCCGATCGCCAAAAATTTTATGTTATATTGTAGATTGATCTATATGTTATCCATTCTATTTGTTAGACTTACGATAAAAGTAAAAGTGGGGATACCAGAGAGCTTCAAAGTAGGATGGTACCCCCCCAAAAAAACTGGGTCGAGTCACCTTAAGTAACCTTTTTTCTCCTTACCTCAAATAAGAACTGCTCGGCCTCAGCCAGCTTATGAAACTCATGGGCGTGTTGAGCAAGACCTGCAAGCTGAAAGCACAAGTTTCACATATCAAAAAAAAAACGAGACACACACACAAAAAAAGCAAACTGGTTAAAAAAAATTGACGGAAACATTTTCCAGAAACCTTACAGAGGATGACAAGGTCTAGTTAGCATGCGCCGCAAGATTTTCTGTGTCAGTCGGGGAAAATGCCAAAAAAATGAGAGCGCGCGCTCTCGGCAAGGCAGACACGCATGTGCGAGTCTGTAAAATTTCGCGACTCTGTGTAGCAACATGTTCGCTCGCTTTTAACGTATCGCCTTCAACTTTGAAATTTTCCTAGTTTTAAGAGACTGTTTCCAGTGGTGTCAACGGATGTTCGTCAGCTGGTCTTTATAAAAACATGAAAAAGACCGTAAAAGGGTCTAAACCGTTCTCTCTGTGGAACTGTGTAGTATTTTGTACTCACCTCTTCCTTCGTGGGTACAAATTTAAGTAGTAATTCTGCGTGCTCTGGTGGCAGTTCAACCAAGTCACACTGGTCGATCAGTGATCCTATTGCTTCTGTGGAGTGTTGGATGCGGCGACGGGCGATCACTGAGTGACAAGAAAACGAAGCACTTGTAAAATCAATAGGAGACATCACTGTTTCCAAACATCGTTTTTGTTGTGAAAATTTGTGAACGAATGAAGCAATAGAATCTTTTTGTTTCATTGAAGAACCAATTCGCGTTTCACTGGTTGGCACATTAATATCAATAGTTGACGTACTCGTGAGTATCACTATAGGCTTTTTAAAAACGAGGGTAACTGTAAATTCTAAGTCTGTAATGAAAATGACTACTTATTGATAGCTTAATTCCTCGTTTGTCCCTTTCATGACTTGCTTGTCCAAATAAAGCATTGTCTTGTCTTGTTTTGACCGCTTGATGTTGCCCTATAACTATCAGACGACGGTATAGTTTGGCTGTGCATTTGCAGTTATGGGCGCCTATTTTGGTTCCATACGTACCGAGGGGGCGCCGCGGCGCCCGGGGTTTATAGCGATGGGGGGGGGGGGGGGGGGGGGGGGGGGGGGGGGATGGTTTTCTCACCCCACGCTGGGCCCCGGTCCCGTGGAAAGCAAGGGGCCCGCGGTACGGACGGGTGCCCTACCCTGCCGCTCTTCGGAGCAAGAGGGGGACGGGGAACGCAAAAAAAAACCCCCCCTCCAACACCGGTGTCCGTCCCTTTCTCTCCACATCAAAAATAAAAAGTGGTTGGGAGCGTGTCGGGCGGCGTCGCGGTGCGGGAGCGTGGGCGGGGGGGCGGTGGGGGGGGGGGGGGGGTGTGGGGTGGGGGGGGGGGGGCGGGATGGGAGGGGGGGGGAGGAAGGCGATAGATTTATCATCCCAAGGCTAGACTCGGTACATCTGAAAGCAAGATGGCCGCTGTAAAGGAAGGTGCTCTATCCTGACGATCTTACGGAAAAATAGGGGACTGTGAACAGTAAAACAAACCACTCCTTCATAATACGTGTACATTCCGTTCTCTTCCCATCTAAAATATAAACCCTACATATTCTACGCAACTTTCTTACCAAGATTTCTCGCCCTCTTTGGTTCGATAACTGTGATCTGTTCTGCGGCTCGCTTTACGGCTAAGATAGAAAAACAAGACATCCGTTAATTATACATTGTTCATAGTCGAGAGGAAATTCTTTTCCAGGGCTGTCATTAGGAGCCGGTTGCCGGGGATTTCCCCGGCTACCTTCATTGGAAAATAGAAGAAAAAGAGAACCAAAAGAAATCCCTAGCTGTTTGATTGCCCGCCTACTTGTTGTATTTACCCGGCAACTTGAAATCTTAGTGACAGCCATGGAAAACTTTTCACTTGCCCGTAAGAGTAATAGTGATTTACCACCGGCGGCACAGAAAGAGGATGGCTAAACAGCTGCACTTACCTTTTAAAATGAAGTGATAGGTTTTACTTTTTTAGGTTTGTTTGTTTGCACTGTAGCTAACCATTAGCCGCGATGCTACCACACAAAAAGCGGCGTTCCATTTTACGAGAAAAAGCCCCAATTTTCTCCAGGCAGGTGTTGTCACAAACTGATAATGCAACTACTTTATCCATGGTCGCTTGGTTTGAATATTTGACTGCTAACCAGTACCAAACTCAGAATGCCACCCCCATGCACCCCCGACAGTGTGCTGCCTGTCTCTCGGTATTTCAACTAGAAGCGCAATTCAATGAATATTCATCGCACTGCACACATTAAATACTCGTTAAGTGCTGTGGTACTTGCCTTGTTCTTTCTTGGCGATCAGATCCTCTGAAGCTTCGTTAGCTCTCAACTCAAATTTCTTGTTAAAATCTCTAAAGTCTAGTAATTCCATAAGGTCTTCATCACGGATGTCCTACCAAGAACGGACAATCATTAAAAGAGTAAAATCACATATAATGAAGTCAAACATCCCCAGGGCATATGACAGTTTTAGAAGCAAGGATTGGCACAGTTAACTCGTACGCGGCCTTCTAAGCGAGAGGTCCCAAGTTCCTGATTCCCGGGTGTGTTCTCAAATCCTTGCATGTACCGTCTTCTTTCCTTTCCGAGTGGCTAAATACCGGTAGAACGGAGCATAGAGAGATGGGGTTAAAATGAGTGGCCTCATATAGTTTGGTCAGGTGACGACTATTTCGAGCTGCTGACGTAAAATAAAAAGACTTTAACTCTACTTTCGCAGCTATAGACGCAACTTTTGCAAGTGAGCTAACAAGCCAGGTTGTGATTGTGCTTTAGAAACTATCATTGCCAAATCGAAGAATAAAATGTCTTTTCATTTATCGAAATGGCAAGCACTCTTGACAGGTGGTACACAAATGCCGACAAATACTTGTTAAGGTTTAGTAGTATTGATACTGTCGTTGTGTGTCGTGTGTGCTGTGCGTGCGTGTGTGTTACTTGTGTATTGTTTTTTAAAAAATTGTAATGTCGGTAATGTATGTAAAAATTAATGTTATTATAGTAAGGCAAGAAATTGAAATAAGAGTGATTAAATTACAAAAAAAAACAAAAAAAGGTTGTGATTGGGCTTGTTATGGCATCGCTCTTTCGTCAAGAATGAAGAATGGCTCTGATTTCTTTTCAATACCTTTTTCAACAACATTACAGCGAGACTTATAAGTCTAGCTAAATCTAGCATTGTCACTCCACTTCAAAAGACGTACCTGAAAGAATAGGCTTGCATCTGCCTTTGATGATATAGGAGTCCAGTTGAGCATGGGGAGACGTACGCCATTGGCACCTACTCGCCGCCTCAACGACGCAGTCCCATCTAAAAATATATCACCTTTTGGATCAGTATAGGATCATAAAAACTTAACGGTTGCCCCTAGCCTCTCGCGCGTGGAGCTCCGTCAAAAAGACCGAAAAAGCCAGTTGCACACTAGTGTTAGTCACTATACATGTATATAGTTTACCTTGCCTGTAAAGAAGCGGCAAACCAAAGAAATTGAAATTCGCGTTAATTTCATAAAGCGTTAATTTCATATGATAAAGTAAGGGGGCAGGGCTGAATCGCTCTTGCTACGCTTGATTGATAAGGAAGTTTTAGCAGAAAGGGTAAAATTAAAAATGTTCGGAACCGTTTGCGATTTATGTCGGCCTTCAATGTGTACAACGACGTTTCCCGAGAAACCGGGTTCAAGTTCTTTTCTTCCCCTTGAGCAATTTTTTGCTGTGTAACCGCAAACATGAAAGTGTTAAAAACCTAGAGCGAACCCAACAAAAGCTATTTTCCCAAAAGGAGCTTTGGGGAAAAGGTCTAGTGTAACCTCAACTATTAATTCAGATACGACAGATTGCGAAGTGAAAATGCCCGTACAATTTCTGTGCCATTTGTTGAACCGTTTATCCATTGCCTTCTGCAGTCTACTTTTGCAAGATAACTAATTTACTTCCACTGAAAACAGTAAAAAGACAGTTTTTCAAATGGTACGGCTAATTTCGGTTCAAGTCAGAGGTACTTCTGGGGTAGTTTCAATCGGACCGGACTTGCTTTACAATTTTCCGTAATCTGACACTTGTGCGCCGCTTTTGACTGAATTAGCGAACACTTATAGCAAAGCATAGGAATTATGAGCTAACAGGAAACCATTGTTATACAAGATGTCACTCACTTTCAGAATTTTAATGGTTAGAAGAAAACTTATCCAAATACATTAAAATAAATTCACTACATAAACTTACCAATTTCAGGGGGAGGGGGTGGGGGAGGAATCAAACGACCTGTGAAATAGTAAATGATAAAACATCCATCATTGATGCTGACTGAGCGACATAATAAGAAGAAAAAGAAAACAAATAAATTTTAGCTCAAAAGCCAATATTCTAATAGGCACTCTTCTTAACCCTTTCGCCCATGAAGCGCACTTAACTGCCCGTGCAGATCCACGTCCCTTCTACCGCTTGTGACGTCATACGTTTTTTAAGGGTCAAGGACAGCTTTGTCCGCTAACTTGTGCAGAGTAAAGAGATCTATCCGAACCATACCAAAATGGGCTCGATTAAGTCGAGAAGGCCGGAGAAACAGGCAAAAAACCACGTAACATTGACCTAATAATTTCCATGAAAATCTTGTTCCACTTCCCACCTACTTTTTCTTTTAGGCAGTCCTAAGATCTTAAAAGCTTTCCCAAAAACATTTCCCGCCAAAATGTAGCCTACTAAATGCCAAGCAAACGACAAAAAATGAGGCAAGAAAAGCGAAAGAAGAGGGGAGGAGAGAAAGCGAAAAGTAAGTCAAGACTGCTGGGTCACTTTTAAACTCTAAAACTATCTTTTTGCTTTCTGCGCATGTCCGAAAGTCGCAAGCTAATATTTTGCATCTGGATCAGAAGGCCGCAAAGTGTACGACCTATAAACGGTTTTTGTGGTAAGTTTTAGTTCTTTTTAGCAAGACAGTGACCAAAACCGCTCAGCTAGCATCAAAACGCGTTTTCTTCCAGGGGCGAATGGGTTGAAGAGTTTTCCTTGGGACACATGGTGAAAACAAAGAAGCAAACAGATCACCCATAGAAAACGATGAACGAAATAAACTGAGAAAACGCTTAACTTCTTTTATTCTTATGGTGTCTCTAATCTTTTTTCCCGTAAGAATCCGCAAAAATTATCCGTTTGCTTCTTTCTTTCTAATTCTTCCTTTCTTTTACTAGTAATTATCCAAATCCTCTTATATTCTTGACGTTACATTTTGCACTCCAGTAACGATTTTTAGCAACCATGAAGGCCACAGCAGCGAAAACATCGTTTGTGAAGTGAAGGTGATTGATTGTATCAAATATGATAAACACATACCATCTGGTGTTGGTGGGGGGACAGGTGGCGGAGGCGGTGGGGGTGGGGCAGGGGGTGTTACAACTGCCGCTGCAGCTTCTGTGACACTGGTAATGAGATCACGGGGGATCTCAACTTGATCTGCTTCGTGCTTGACGTGTTTCTAAGCAGCAAAAAACTTCAAATTAACTGTTAAATTGAAAGCAATACATTTGCAATATTTAACAATTATTGAAAGAAGCCGAGTACAGAACAAGGAAGGTGTTGCTGCTGAGGAAGATAACGATAGCACTCTCCGAGATCCGCACATAGTAGAACCACGATGTAAGGACCCTCTATACATGTATATAATGAAGTCATAGGTATAAGGAACGATATTCTTCGCCCAAGTTGCAGTAATGGTAAAATGTAAGGAAAAGAACCTCGACACCAAGACGAAACCTGACCTCGTTAATAGCGAACTTACTTTTCCAGTCCCTTGGGCGTTCGTTATATCAAGGTTCCACTGTGATTCTTTTATTTTTCACTCAAAATAATTGCAAGTTCATAACATCCTTGAGCTAACCTTTTCGTAGAACATATTCAAAGGATATGCCAATTCCCGGGCAATTTTAGCACAAGAAGGAATGTTTTTTTTTTAAAGCCGAACAACTGCACGTAACGATGGAAACAGTGAAAATGAACAAAACTTACCACAACATTTTCCAAAGTTGTCTGTAATTCTGTGGATCTTAGTCTGTACTCCTCCGATCGCTCCCCAAGCTGAAAAAATTTAAATACCGCAGTTTGTATTGAAAGAATTGAATATTTAAACACAACCTCAAGTGTTCAGGGCTAGTAGAGAAGCACGCTTGCACAAAAGAAAGAAACTCAAACACCCCTTAACACACCGATTTAGAAATTCGATTCTCGATACATCAAGGATTAATAGATTCCAGTTTTACTAGATGGTCAAAATACATACCTCTGTATTTGCTTTCTTAAGTCTTATGTTCTCATTTTCCAGCTCCTGATAATGAAGAGAAAGGATAAAAATGTCTCGTAAAATAAGACGACGAGAAATGTGTTTTAAAATTGCCTTATTAAGACTACTGCCGTTGTTGTAACAAGGCGCGTTTTAAAGACTTAAGAGAACTTAGTTTAAATATTAAACGGATGGTAAAACAGACTTACCTCAAGTTTGGTCTGTAAAAGATCAACCTATTGAGGCAAAGAAAACGCTCTTGTCACTATTTTGAGCAGGCACTCTAACACACGCACCCTAACGTTTGTGCGGTATAATAACACTCTGAGTCTTAAAAGTGACCAACATCAGGCTTCTCCCAATACAGTAAAAACCCACGACTAAGAACCTGTCAGGTTAAAATTTGCCAGTTAGGCCCCCTCTATACATCTATACAAGAACCTGTTCAGCGTAAAATTTGAAACAGGTTCTTATTTTCTAAAATCTATAAAGAAATTCTGTACAGTTGGGCAAATAAGATAAGTCAACGTTCAGGATCCTCTTTGGAGACATAGATGCCTTATCACTCCCACTGCAATACTCAGTATTAGACAGTACACAGGTTTTACCCTGAGGAATGAGCTGAAAACCACTAAATACCACTAAATACTCTAAGCTAACACGTATTTTTTCTTCAGAAGATAAGAACCTATTTAAGGGCCTAAATAGCCTAAATTGGTGCTAATTACTATTTATGTACTAAGAACCTGTTAATGCTAACTTGGAAAAATGTAGAATCTTAGTCGCAGAGTTTTACTGTCATATCAATACTTAATCAAAAGGAAAGGTTATGAGAAATTATAAAATGATCACCCAACTGGCCAAGGAAAATGCAATTATCTCATTATGAAATTCTCTCAACTTATTCTTTACGGAAACGTGTAGAGATCAGTCTAGAGAATTTACAGTAATAGGTTCAAGTGTATGGTCCTTAATATAATTAAACTGACCCCTGGCAGTACTTACTCGTGGTACAACGAGCCATAATAAGGAGCTTTAGACTTGAGGACGAGAACGACTACGAGTACGAGATTTTCTCAATACTGAGTAGTGCTCGCACGTGAACAAGCGCTATTTTAGCGGGAAAAAGAGATTCATAGCCGTCGTCATTCTCCTACGAGAACGAGGTTCCACTGTATTAATTTGTTTCTAGCATTTGGCATAAAACGACACAAAGACGACACAAAGATTGGTTGAAAGTGCGCAGCGAGGAAAACAAGGGCAAATGCCATAGTAGAATACCAACATGGACATTGCTTTCTCCTCAACTCCACAACACGTGAAACTAAGAGTTTTGACTGAAATTCGGTGCATGGAGGTTGATTCTTTTTATTTGGTTAGGGACTGCAATGCAAAAAAGAAAAAACCCTCACCTCATCTCGAAGGTACTTGGTTCTCTCTCGAAGGCTAACAAATTCATCCATAACCCCTTGAACATTAACATAATTGTCCTGCCACGTTTTCAACGCATCTCGTACTGATGATGCTTCCAGGCCTTCCAAGGTCTGCAACCGGAGAGAAGAACAAAAACTGGATTTAATTTTTGGACTTTTTGGAATGAGACTGATGGAACACAAGAGAAATTCTGAATGTAGGTAGCTCTAGATGACTCGCAATTTTTAAGGAAAGAACAATCCAGGAATTAAGCACAGGCTTTCAAAACACATGCACTGATCCTACCCAATTTACCAATAACAAAAACAGGAAAGTAAATGAGCATTTCACTCTGAAAACCACCGACTAGTTTTTGTTTGTTTGTTTTTTTTCCTATTACGGCGTAGACCGCAAAGCAGTCTCTTAGCCTGTGTACAGACCCCCTCCTCCCCTCAGGAAAACTCGATTTCTGCGACTTTTCCTGAGGTGAGGGGGGGGGGGATCTGTACACAGGCTAGCAGTCTCTTTTTTTTCGCTCCCGTCTCTCGCGCGTTTCGCTCGACGGACAAAGAAAAAAAGACCACTCTTTGTCTAACTAAGGCGGTTTCTACAGGGAAAGACAACTTATATTTCGCGTGCAGGAGAAAACTGGCCAAAAAAATTCCATGTGACCAACATCGTAGCCCAAAACACGTGACGACAATTTTCGTGGCAATTAGACAACGTCACATAAAAGTTGACTGCGATTTCCAAGATTTTTAGCTCCCGACACATCACCCTAGCGTTGGTCCACTGTTGTTTGAAATCACTTCTATAGCTAACGGAGAAGAATTTTCAACAGAAAATTTGTCAAGTCCTGCACCCAAAATCCGAGCAAATACGTTTTTCCCTTGGGAATTGCCACACTTGCTGTATGTACATGGCTTTGAAGTACCATTCCATCTTACCCTTTCTGTTCGTTCCACATCAAACCCTGCATTTTCAATCTCTTGCTGATGAAAAACTTTCTTGTTAAAAGTCGGTGTGATACTCAATAGAGAGTTGAAGAAAATCAAGCAGAGCGTCTGAAAGAGAAAACGAATGCAATAGGCCCTCCAACGTTCGTACCCTTTTTTGAACAAAAAATTCAAGGACTTTCAAGGACACATATACCACTTTTCAAGCACTCTATTCAGTGAAAAAAGAGCCTTGAGTCTCTCTTTTTTAGCTCTTCAACATCATCACATCAAAAGAGATTTAATCCTGAAGGTCTTCCTGTATTTGCTCCCTTAAGGCACTTCAGAACAGCCTGGGTTGGATAACGTTAGAATGCACAGAAATTCAAGTACTTTCCAGCACCAATTGAAATTCTCAAGGACTTTCAAGGTGCGTGCAAACCCTGGCCCAGTTGCAGCTAGTCAAATTAGGGACCTTGCAATCCGACAACGGCGACGCCAATGAAACGTCACTGAAAAATAGACTTAGCAGCCTTTCAAACTTTTTCGCGCCTATCCAAAGTTACTTCAAAGAAGGAAATTTAGCTGCAGCTGAAGAGAGGGGACAGCGCAGGAGTTCACACAACGATGGTAGAATTTATTGCCTTGCCGTTCCCGTTCTCAAGTCAACATAGAATGTGGTCATTCCACGTCGCACTTTCGCTGGCACGGCAAAGCAATTTACAAAAATGCGTGATGCACGTGCAGAGTTGTTGTTGTGCTTTTTGACGTTCCCGTTGCCGTCGCCGTCGTAGTTTCGTAAGGTCCCTAATATTCAGGTGAAGCAAAACCCCAATGCTGGGACAAGAGAAGAAAAGGAAATTACCATTTTATGATGGGAGACCTTTGTTTTTCTGTCCCAGTACAACTCTCGACCCTAGGCGATTTGGGCTCGGTCAAAACTTAGCTGTGACGTCACCGAGAGAAACTTGCCTATCTTCCCCAGACTTCGCGCGGACAACGGGGCAAGAGAGAACGCCTAGGGGATAGGCTGATAAATAATGAACTTGGCTCTGTCCCAACCGTCGTTTACCTGGAACTGCGGTGAAATGGGTCTCTGGTACATCAAATTCACAAGAGTTTCAAACGGCCGCACCTCTCTGGCCGTTCTTGAGTAAAACCTCACTGCATCAACAACTTTATCGTAGTACTCAGACTGCATACAGGCCTGTGCTAGCATCTAAATGAAAGATATTAAGCAAGCATTATTGAGAAAAACAGGTCTACAAACAATCTATCGCTCTTTAAGGTTTCTGTCATTACTGAAACCAGACACACTTTTTAAGATGAAGTGACTATGTGGAGACCTTATGCGCAACGGAGCGCGAACCGGAGGCAAGGTAAGGTAAAGTACCGTAAATGACTCTAAATGGATATCAGAGTTTGAAAGCAACAGCCAAACTTGTATATTGCACTTGTAAAAGCTTTGTTAAATTGACTCATAAGGTACCAGAAAAATGTCTGGCATAATAAATGCTCAGTTAATAATTATTCCTTAAAACAAAACTAGTTTTTAGTACTATCACGATGATAATAACATTGCTCCTAAAATTCTTAATACAACTTGGCAGAAAAGAAGCTTGTCACATAATCCCTAAGGCACTGCCGCTACTTTCAGTGTCATTATATAGTCTTTATGCATTGTGAAGAGTACTTTTCCCGCCCCAAAACTGTAAATCGTTAAGAATGCACTTACCTTCACTACCAACGCTTGAGTTTTTAGACTGTCAATTTTCAAACACAGAATGATAGCTTTGAGAGATTCCTCAACACCCATAACTGATTGAAAACCATACTGTGGATAAAAGGTTACACACAAGTCAAGTCACCGATAAAATTAAGGTCCTTACCCTACAACAATGACGACGCCAATGAAAACGTATTTTTTTGGTGCACGATCAGATTCCTCAAAACAACAGTGATTTTGTTGCAAATAGTTATGGTGAGTCCTGGGACTCATCTTGTGAAACAACATGAGTCCCAGTCCAGAGCAAATGAGTCCCAGTTAAAAAATAACCAGTCCCAAATAGAAAATGCTTGGGCCTTAATGTAACCAGATAGCTAACCTGAACACAGACTCCAAAACTCTGTATTACAGTACACTGAGATTAAAATATAGTCCTTCTATTTTAAAGCACAACAAAGGCTAAAAGAAATACGCATCGTTGAACAACAGCCACAATAACTACCACAGATACACATGTTCAGATCAATCGATCGATATTTGCGTCCTTCGGGAAGCATGCCATGATATTATTTTGCGTCTTTGGGGATTTTTATGCATCAGGGACGCAGGACGCAGGGGTAACAAAATCACTGAAACAATAGCCTATTGTCCCAGGCGTTGCTGCCCAGAAACTGACCTCTTTTCTGTCACACCTTTTTTGCGTCAATTCCCACTCGTTTGTGGTTGCATATTAGTTAAGGCTATGTTCAAACTCAGATACCCGATAGCTTTTGCATCGCCACGAAAATCATATACCGTATAGGGTTTCTGTTCACACACAAGAACGGTTGTGGCGGCGCGATTTCTGTGACGGAGAGAAGCTGCACCGCGCCGATCTCTAAAGTGGTGAGCTGTACATCGGATAGGCGTTCACACTATACTAGATACCTTTTCGTGGCGCCACGAAAATCATACCGGATAAGGCTTCTGTTCAAACACAAGAACGGTTGTGGCAGTGCCATCTCTGTGACGAGCGAAGCTGCGACGCGCCGATCTCTAAAGTGGTGAGTCACATATTGGACAGGCGTTCACACAAAACTGGATAGCTTTTCGTGGCGCCACGAAAAGATATCCAGTAGTATTGTGTGTACATAGCCTAAAAGTCAGGAAATTCAACTTAGGGCTGAAGAGAAGAAGAAGGCATCCCAGCTCAGAGCTGATATGGATACCGTACTAAAAGTTGTTTGGTCTTTTCATTCAGTGGAACCTCGATATAAAGAAGTGCCAAGGGATTGGCAAAATTTGTTCGCTATAACGAGGTTTCGTTATATGGAGGTTCTTTTCCATATATTTTACTGTTACTGGGGTAAAGAAAATCGTTTGTTAAATCGAGGACTTCGTTATATAGAGTTTCGTTATATCGAGGTTTCACTGGAGTACGTCCATAGTTGTTGTTTTTCGTTGTTTTTTTGTCCGTTACTAGCTAGGCTATAAGACATAGATCTCATTCTTTTTATCTATTTACTTTTGTTTTTAAATTTTAAATGCCATTACCTTGTTTCTCATTAAAACTCTCAAACACATGAGACACAAATGCTCATCAACCTAAAAGTGAAAAATCACAAAAAATTAGTCAGTACCACATAAGAAAAAAGGGACGAACGTTTAGGTTTATAAAATCTGCCCTAAGAATTTAATTTGAGCTAATCTGAAGTCTTTTAGCGTCAGTAATGTGAGGCTGTGGAATGGTTTGCCTGATGAACAGTCTTTCATCCTTTCCCTTGAAAACATGCCAATACAGCCATCTGCTTTCATTTGTACAGGCCCGCGTGTAAGAATCCTCTGACACACTGCAGATTTTAAAGGGATATTCCAGGGAGGCAAGGGTGCTTACCATAATTATTACACAAACCATCAGTCTGGTTGAAAATCTGCTACATAAACATTTAACAATTAAATTTGACGTTGCAGGAAAAGTAAACGCTCCAAAGTAGGTCCATTGTTTTAGCTTTTTTATTTTTATCAAGTAGTCTCATGAGAACAGCAGTTTAGGGTTGAAGTAGAATAAAAATATCACAGATCTTGTTTTAAAATAGGGAAAGGGCTCAGGAAGCATGCTGAACATCTTTGCCGGGTCAGTAAGTGTACACCCTGCATCTTGGTCCACTCACAGGCACCTATACCCTTCCATGGCTTTTTTTCAACTTCCGACTGGGACCAGTTAACGAAAAACAAGGCTGGAAAGAACGCCGTCAGTGAAGTTGCAAAGATTGAAAGTGCTTTTCATGTTGAAAACTAACGAAGGTATAGCTTTGCAGAGTCGCGACGTTGTGGAGCAATGATTTGCTCGTTTTGGAGGCATCACTTTTAAACTTGGTACGTTTTTTAATATTGCAATGTGCTCTTCCCAACAGTGTCAATGGAATTTTGCTTGCTGCTTTGTTAAGACTTAAAAAAACTGTGGAAGGGTCCATTGTTTAAATGAAGGTATTTAACCATACTTACAAAGTCTCTGGACAAGACATCGGGTTTGCCTTTCTTCTTTGGAACGTCATCAACTTCCGGAGATGGTTGGTGTAAATGTAGATATTGAAGGAATTCAACCAGTGCAACATGGCCTCTGTAAGGATCATCTACAAACTCACGCAGCCAGCTAACAGAAAAACATTGCATACACCAAATTATGCGTGCATGAAGAGCTACCATTAAGGGCTGTAACCAATAACACCTGTTACAGCAGAGCTCACTTGATTTACAGGTGATCAGATTGGGAAGTTAAAGAGGACGGTATAAAGTTTTGGGGAGATGTTATGGGTGAATCTTTATTTGCTACGGCTGCTCTAAAAATTAATGTACTATCAGTATCGTGTCTGTGCATTGCCCTCAACAAAACAAATTTCCCGGAATATAATACCAAAAGCCTTCTAATTTCAAAAAGACTCAAGCTGCCATAAGGATGACCAAACAGTTACAAATTTCATAGCCTCGTTTTGAATGCATTTCTAGAGATCTAAAAGTACCCTGGATAGCCTACTAGTGTTTTCAATGTATTTAGGAGGAAACCATTGTTAGGTGCCCGGATGCAAGAAACCAATGACAAGTCAAACTCAAGCCAGTTTAAAATAAATGGCCTTCTATACCTTCAGGAAAAAAAAAAACCTTGGCCATATTGTTTGCAGAGAGGTGCATGCACAAATCCGGCACTAAGCCTTCTGGAAGGCTTAATAATATTGTCTTGATGTTGACAAGGTACATGTCAACTGCAGATGAACCTCCATTAAGCGGCGATCCTTAAAGGTTCCGGCAAGTGGCTCATTCTCTCTTGTGGCCACTTAATGGGGGTTAGTCACTCCAAAGAGGTCTTAAGATAGTTGCTCAATAGGTCTTAGGTTAGTCGCTCAATAGTCTTAAGTCGCTAATTAATAGAAGTCTTTATAGTTAGCATAATCTTTAGAAGAAATATCACTTTATTTTGAAACAAATGTGCAAAGGGAACTGCATTACTGGTCAACAATCACTCATGACCTTACATATCTAGGACTGTATTTTCCGTCATCATATTCTCAAAATAAAGCCCAACTAAGATTATCAAGTTCTTGATTGTCAGGATGGTGAGAAGGTGGCCACTGCTGCTTAATGGGGGTAGCTGCTTTAAATTAACAGAGGTTTATCTGCAATTATTATTTCAGTTATTTGATTACTGGCCACCTAAAAGGTGGCCACTAAATGGAAGTTCAACTGTATATTTTAATAATTCTTTTCTGTGATGCACACATGAACAAACATTCACTAAATGCTTACGTGGTATTTGGATGTGTCCGAAGGTCAACTTCTAATGACCTAAGTATCATCTCAACAGGCTCCAAACCTTTGAGGAGCCTTTTCCTTTCTGCAGCAGCAGACTTGCTCAGGTTGATGTCTCTGTGGGTTTTTAACTGTTCAATATAGAAGCCTGATGAATACTTGGGTTGCATCAATTCCTGCAAACATATTCAAAATATCTTTAATATCATTTAGAGAGGACATAACATTCTACACATAATATGCACCTCTTTTCAAAAATTACTTCAAAGCCACCATACATGCACACTCAAGGAAAATTTTCGGCAGAGTAATATAGGATTCAACAAGAAAATACCTAATGTTGCTTTAGGCTTATGTCTGCCACTCTCTTGGGTCCAGTTTTTTTCCTCCCAGAGACTGAAGAATGTCTTTTCCTGGGAGAAGTGCAGTCTCATTTCCCAAACAGAGACTGGTAATCAAGCTCTTTCCCCAGGGGGAGGTACCTGCGGGATGCTCCCACCCATATATATGGGACAGATAGTTATGTCCCCACCCCCCAAATAGGGTCTGTTTTTTTGAGGGTCTAGATCCTTAAATAGGGAATCATTTTTGCCCATGCTGGCATTAATTTCCGTAAACTGTATTCTGTAATGAAGAGTTTTGCCATCTGTCTCCAGATTAACTGTCTGGTTACATAAAGGCCCAAGCATGAATCCTTGTTTTTTTTCAACTGGGACTCATTGGTTATGGCCAGGGACTCATGATTTTTCACAAGATGAGTCTCAGGACTCACCATAACTATTTGTGACAAAATCACTGATTGGGTCTCACATTAATTTTCTTTTCCTTTTAAACCCTTAAGCCCCAACATCCACATACAAACTCTCCATGCTGATCCCAATATATTTCCTTCAAGCAGAACTAATGAGAGAATTTATTTAAAGGTCAAAGCATTTTCACTTGGATGATCCTTTTCTTAATTCTCATAACCTTTTTTCTTGATTTTGTATTAATATTGTTCTCAGAAAATTGATGTTGGTTACTCTTGAGACTTGATCAAGGGTTAACCCTTTAAACCCTTAGATCAAAATTTGAATTCTCATTTGTTGCCCCCATTCATTTCCTACAGAAGTAGTGAGGAGAAGTTGATAAAATATCGAGCAAATTCATCTTGTGTGATCATGTCCGTCATTCTCATGACCACTCTGTTTTACAAAGCATTGTTATTACAAAGAGAAATTTGATGCTGATCACTCTTGGGGCTTAAAGGGTTAAAAGGGTGTCATGCCTCTCCAAAGAACTGAATTTCACTTTGACTCTCAATACCTGAGGATGGTGTACATGACCCAAATTATGTGCTTACATTAAAAGCAACAGTTACTAAAAGCAAAGTTTCTTAGCTGCCTGAGTGTGTCTATAAATTCCAGACTGGCCAATATGTAGTCAATAATATTTAATACAGAAGTAAGAAAAAGACCCCTTTTTTTTCTCTAGGGCCAGGCATTTTGACCAAAAAAATAAATTATAAAAATGTTACAAATAAATAATATAATTTATTTTGGTCAGTCAGGTCAAAAAGACAGTTTCAATGTCATTTAAGGACTAGCACCATACCCAAAACTGTTAGAAAGTCTGCCAATATTACTAACTAACACAACTTATAGAAATTAACTTTTATCTGGATGAACAGTGCATGGGACGAAAGCTGGCAACTAGACTGAGTGCCGTGTGACAACACAAGCAGCTTCTTCTGAATACCTCCAGATAATTCTTAATATCACTTTTTTATCTATAGATAAAAGTCACAAATTATACATGGCTGTAAGTTTGGACATTTATGAGGGTGCAATATTTCATTATTAGTTTGTTTCCTGTTTCATTAATTATTATTTGGCACTTTTCCATGGAAAGGTTTTAAAAAGGTTGGAAATAGCTATTTATAAAAAGCTTATTAGCTTATCAATAATAAGGCTGACATTACTTAATTGAGATCTCTATGATTGATTTTAGATGACCAAAAATACCTGACCCAGTCTCAAGCACTACAAATTAAACCGACATAACTTCTATTTTAACCTTGCATTTATGTGAAACTTAATTGAGCCATTTACAAATGAAAAGCATTACTCGGTTTTGTCCTTGTCGTGACGAAAGAAACATAATTATCTAATTTTGAAAAATGATGGCAAATTTTAAAATACTTGAACATCCGTTTAGATCAGCCTGAATTGGGGTTCTATCTGTAACCAGACCACAGCTTTTGAAAAGATTTTGTTTCTGATACTTAGCTCAATCTGAACCATGCTATGAACAGCAAAATAAACACTGTGTCAAGTAATCACAGGTCCCATTTATATTGTGCTGTAGATAGTATGAGTGAATTTTTGTTATAAACAGTGAGCCCGTACAAAATTCAGTGCAAGTTATTATCCTACTGAAGTATTCACAGTCTACGAATTGAATTCAAGCTGCTTGTAGAATGATTATTCTAAGCTCAATACTAACATCTTCAGCCTTTTCAGGGTTTGCCCCAGAGTTCTCAGAGTTAGAATTGACAAATTCAGAAGCAACTGCCTCTAAAGTTTGAGCAGAGTTATCCATTTGAGGTTCATCAAAAATAACAAACAAGTATCCAAATTCCTTCCTTGAAATAACCACAAACCACGTTCAAAAAAAGGTTTAAAGGATAGAAAAAAACTGTAACTTCAACGTCAGTTTCAGGTGACCCCAGAAAATTTTTCCAAAAAAAAAATTTAAAGTAGAAAATAAATAACAAGATGGTGAGAGGTCGTCTTGGTGTCAACCTGTTCTTTCTAGACTGAATAACTTGAAGAGTTTGTTTTGGGCTGTTTCATTAGTTCCCACCTGCAGACATGCTAATTGTCAAAATTTTCACAGGCTATAAATAGAAACTTTCACTCCACTTAGGTTTTAGTTTCGTGTACTGTAAGTCTAATCTCCGTGCATTCAGTGCATTCAAGGCATTTTTGTTAGATTAAAACTCTACAACTTTGACTTTTAAATTCAAATGTGGGATCTTGTGGCCGTGGGAAAGAAGTCGTTAAATAATGCAAGGAATCAACTCTATTGTAAGGTCATTCTTTCAAGTGACAAGGGATTAATTAAAAATTAATGTTAGACACTCATCAATGTGAATGTCCCTTCATTGACGTAGTTGCTATTGATACGAAAGAGCTCTCCTACGTGGGAGAAAAATTAATACGAATATTCTACAATCTTTGCAACGTTTTCTAACATACATCCCCAAATATACTAGGTTAATTTATTTTAAAACTCAGCTCCATTCAAATACCCGGTCAAATACTTTGACACAAAGAACTCTCGACTGCAACAAGGCTGTCAAGTACATCGATAGCTGTGTCCGTCACGACAACAAACTTGCCTTCGCTTTTATCATTTTCCATTTGTTAGCCTTTGGGCTTTTAGAGAGCTCTGCCGCTCTTTCCGGAGGAAGAGTCATCTTTTCCTATGTGCAAAACAGATTGAAGAAAGTAAAATTTAGCTTTGTAATCATGGTTTGTTTATATCCTGGCGGCCCATAAAAATACACAGCAGCCTGACTCATTGAATTCCTTGTAGGAACAATTAAAATTTAAAAACTTTCAAATCATGATCTTACCAATAAATGGGAAAATCTTCGCTCGATTTCTTCATCGTCTGGCAATTCTTCATCGACGTCAAATTCTACGATTCAAAATTTTCAATTAAATAAAGTAAGAAAAGTTTCTTAGACTCGCTGAGCATACACAATTACAAATATCCTACGTTGGAAGATTTCACATGGCGATCATTAACAGTAGATTCTCAGTCATAATGAAGAATATGTTCTTCAAGAATAGAAATAATTCCACTTACCTGTTTCATCGCCACCAGAAGAACTTTCAACATGCGAAAGCGAAGCGCTTGAAACTGACCGTACAGAATCGAACATGTTCAGCCTCGAATTTCGAATGCGTTCGCCGTTGTGTTTCTTTTTTTGCTTATTGCTTGGTTTTTTTTGTTTTGCATTTTTAACCCGATCTTGCACCATGCTGTCTTTGTGGCAAACAACTGAGCGTTCACAAATGATCTACCAAAGCACTCCAATCAGGGTCTTGCAAAGTAGGTCTGTTTTGGTTCAGATGGCCTCCCTTGACTTCCTCTGTACGGCGAAAGAGGGGTCATTAACTACGCTTAGATACACAATAACTTCTATTGTGGTATTGTATTTGTTTATAAACCTAGAACCTTCTGAATTAAACATTGATTGGCTAGGGAGTTTGGTAATATGAGTCATTACGTATCTTGAAATAAGCGTTTTGAACATAAAACCGAACGGAAGATAGCGTAAAAAATATCTATTAGAGGAAAAGGGAAGGAAGATCCCAAAATCCTCTTTCACATCCTATTTATGGCACATGAAGTAAAAAATAATTCACCCTTCCTACTCAAGAAATAATCCTACTAGCGTGTCTAAATAGAATCACGACATGTAAATTCTTTCAGCTAAAAATCTACCCTATAAGGGTGAAGTTTTGAGGCAAGCTGCAGCTAAATTCTACCTGGTTTCTGAGCGATTCGAATAAAGTAAAGTTTACGATTATCAATTGAGGGGACAATCAACACCAGCAGCCTATTACTTCATAAATATCACCCCAATTAAGGTGTACCTTCATCTCCTGCTTCTTTTGGCTTAAAACGGCTCATTTTTGGTCGGATGTGAACCATTTTTTCAGGATATAATTTCATCTTCAAAGCTATCCGACCTATCCGGCCCAAAACATGGCGGAGGGTCTAACAAGAGACGCTGGCAAAAGACGCGCGAGACTTTCAAATTATCCAATCAGAGAACGGTCCGGGACATTCCCCGCGAGCGCGCCAAAAAAAGCCCCGCGTGGCCACCACCGCGGTCAAACGTCTAAATCGTTATTTTTGTTTTTTATTGCTGGGATTTCATTTACCAGTTAGAGAAAAATGGGCAAAGATGTATAAATCAGTTAGGCAACATAACTATCTTTCCATTTTTCTCAAAACTTTGAGCTTTTTTCGCTGAAAACGCTTTGCGCTAAAAGAGAATCATGTTTGAAAATGGCGCCGATAATAACGTCAGCATCGGTTTTCAATCACTTAGAACTTTTTTAGTAAACTTTTAAAAAGTTTAGTAAACTAACAGGATGTTGGTAATGCCCTAAACTTTCGATAGTGAAAGTAGCAACCTTAACTTTGGAGTATTTCGCTTAACTTTTGCAAATTTCACTCGTTTGACCGCTGTGAACGCGTGGCCACACTCTGATCTTTCAAATCACAATAATTATTTTGTTGAAGAAAGGTAAAGACAGACGACAAAGAGTCAAGTCCAGGACATCTCCAAATAAATTTTCCAGTTCAATCTGCAGGCATACTTATCATCAAAGTCTTCATAAAACAAGTAAGCAAAAAATGGAATTGTTTTTTGATGCAAATAAAATCTTTGTACCTTCCAATGCAACTAAGGCGCCTGACATTAGTTGTTTTATCTATATTTTTCCGGTGCTGAAGGCGTCAGGAAGACGCGAAAACAGTATATCGCATCAGGGGATGTGCCAAAGAATTGCCTATCTTTTAAACGGGATAAAGATGCAGCTTAGTACTCTTTAGGTCAGTTTCAGGCGCTGGAATTAGCAGACGCACTCTGCGACTGGAAATGGGATGGAAAAAGTGGGCTAGGAACTTAAACCTAAACCCTCAACCCACACTACGCACTTTTAGCATCGTCTCTATTAAAACGATGACCTCAATATAACGGCCAATACCAACAACCACAAATTCGGAAAGTAAACAATGATATTGGTCGTTATTAACTGATACACTAACTAGCTTGCGTAGCAGGCGTCGAAAGGGGAGATCGAGAGACCATTATACACTGAGGTAGTCTAAAAATGGCAAGTAATTTGCGAGAATGAACAATTCCCGCTTGAGACTTTAGATAGATGGTGGCCACATCATCCTAAGATCCTTATCGCTAATATCACAAAAATGATGATCGCGATTTTAACATCACAACGACATCCTATATTGTAACTTTAATAACCAATACAGATGAAGAGCAGAGTCCCTTCAGATTTCCAGGTAGGTTCCGAAACAGCTCAGAGGGAAAGTAGGAAATAGAGTTGAGAACGGATGACTAGAGTTATTTTTTTTCTTTATTTGTTTTTTTGAGGGGAGTTCTCCACTTACGTAAATTATATAAACGTTTTTGTTGTTGTTATTGTTGTGGATTGAAATATATGAAATAAACTCAGTGGGAATAAATACATGAAAGTGAACACGATCTTTACAGTAGAATGAACAATGTTGTTAATATTATCATTATCATTATGTTTTAGAGGATACTGTTTCTTAATGTTCTGAAACAATACCGCATATGTTGTGGTTCAATTTTATCCTTGGTTTAAATTTAATTTTCCTTTGTTTCAAACTCATTATCGTATATTATCATACCCCACCAAAACAAAGCCGGAAAATAAATTTAAACCAAGGATAAAATTGAACTACTGATACCAGTGCTTTGCTTTTTCAGCAAATCTTTTTAGTACCTTCTGCCCGAAGAAATAGAATGGGGTGGCACATTTTCGGATTTTTTGGGGTAAGACAGTTCTTCTAGTCCTCTATTTTTCCGTAAGATCGTCGAGATCAAGCGCTTTGCGTTACGGGCTGCCATCGGGCATGAGTGTCAGAACTACTTAGGGGGCGAGGGCGGTTTGGGAGGACTCGCCCCCTCCCCCTACAGCTATAATCCCCGTCGCCAGCCCCCGGTGGTACATTTGAAACTCAAGATAGCCGCCATTGACGTAAGACGAGCTATATCTCAACGATCTCACGAAAAAATAGGAGACTGTGAACAGTCTACAGTTCTTCATTTTTACGGTTAGCAAACGTACCAGAATATTTGTACTGTAGATGAAAAGTAAAGTGTTCTTCATTCAATCTAAAAAGTGGGTCAATTCATAAAAATAGAGAGTGACTAAGTTGGGATCGCGAACATTACATATTTGCCCAAAAGTGACTAAGATGGGATCTATAATTGTCCAAAGAATAGACTATAATGGGGTAGGGGCACTGAGGGGCCGCGCCAGCGGCACATACCCAGCAAAAATTAACCCAACTAACTCCCGGGCTTTTCCCCCGTCCATGAGAGATAGGCCACTCCACCGGGGACTACCTCCCTTACTCTTTACAAACAGTGTGCGGGTTCTTTAACGTCCCACAGAATTTATAAGTGCTAGGCTAGGCGGGTTGTGAGACGAGACCTACGGTTTATCCTCCTTATCCGAGAAGACTACAAAGTCTAACCGTCTGTCTTTTCAAAGGCAGCACTTTCTCCTCAGTTATTTAAAGACCCTGAATGTTTGTTCGGCCAGGCTTTTGAACCAACGGCCTCTCGCTCGGCAGACCGTCGCTCATTTAATTGAGCTTACCGGGCGGCGGTTTGAAATGACATTTATTGCCCTCATAATTGAAATGCAATGGACATCCATTCCAGACGTAAAGCGTTGAAAATCGGAAATATGTTATTGGTTGAATTCTTTTCCTTGAACTGTCTCTAATTTGTTGATTATTAACGATTTCCAGTGAAATGGTCAGCTGATATATCACGTGACTAACTGGAGCGATACTTATACTTAAGATAAGGCTCTCTGTATACCAAATTTGGGTTCAGCTTTATTCCCTTTGCGGAAGATATAGGTATCATTTTTCTTAAATAAACCTACAGAGCCCATTCCTTAAACTACTTGAATTAAGGTCGTAGCATCACCTTTCCAAACACGGGACAAAAACAGTGGATAACCGAGAGTTAAAGGGGAAGTCAAACACGCGATAAAGACCACCTTTAACGATCTTTAACGTCGTCTTCAGGTGGGTCTTTAGGCGATAAAGGCCGTTTTTGTCACGCATTTATATTAACCCTCACCTTTGACTAGCGTCATAGGTGTTATTGATTAGCCTTCGCTTATATTTATCCGCTGGATAGTGATTTATCCGGTTATCCAGCGTTTGAACAATCGGGGCCTGAACTTTAATTTCAGCCTGAAAGGGATTACAAGGGTTGGCCATCTTTTACATGAATTGACACAAATGGTGAAAAGATGGCGTGAACTTGGGAGGGGATCTGTATAAAGAACTTCACTGACGTTTGGGCAACTAATTCTTATTTAGTGTGCGAGAGTCTTCTCTTGGCTTCATGTGCATTATCAGGTGCCAGGTTTTAATCTCTTTGTAGGCAACGGAATTGAGCCGCGAGGCAATTCAGCACTTCGCTCTTTATGCCTCTCACCGCAAAAGAGCGAGAAGACCTTGGCAATCGATCCATGGCACTTGTGCGTTCACTGTGACTAGAATATTCACCGTTGATGCTGTCGTTGGCATTTTTGCTCGCAAATGCCTGCGATACCTGTTGCTCGCTAATCTTTTGTTGACATACTGAGACAGGTTGTTCTTTCACAGGTGAAATGTCCATGCCTATGATTAATTGTTTCGTTTTATTCTTCATTCTATTCAAAAACCATCATCTTTTACAACTATTAGTATCATGAATATCAGCATGAAATTTCTTGATTTTTCTTTTACTTCCGCCTTACCAATCGGTGAAATGCGATAAGCTGCGAACGCATCCAAACAACCCCCTTTACAAATACACAAGATGTTAGCGGTTCGCAACGAAACCAGAGTTGAGGTAAGTTCAAAAGGATTTGGTACCATATTTTACTAGCAGTTTACTACGAAAAAAAGACTCAAACCCAAGATCAAGATGTCTATCAGCTGTCAGATTTTATTTTGGTTTCGCGATCTGTTAAAATCAACAAAGTAATTACTATAAATTTAAACATGTTACAACATGAAACACTTGCAGATTTAGTCACTACTGAACAGTTGCCTTCATCAAAAAGATTCGCTGGACAATACTGACCCCAGTTACAACAACATACTCCCCGAAGAAGTGTAGTTAACATTCGATAAAGGAGAGTAGGCAGTAAGGCCTACTATCCCCTCCCCAATTAGTAAGGCACTGTGCCTGTGCTATAAGGCAGGAGACTTAAATAAAGTTCATTATTATTATTATCGCCTGGATTTCCCATATATGGAATATTTTTAATAAATAAGAGCAGATTTCACTTTCTAGAAACTAATAGAAAAAAAACCGGATCTTTTACCACAACTCAAAGGAAGTTGTAACTCGATCCTTGCCCTACAGAGCGAGAATCGTCTAGGTAAGTTTGAAGTATAAATCTTTGTGTTCTATGGGCTTACCGTACATTGAAAGTACTTGCGATTACAATATAGAATTCCGTGAAAGGAGATGATACAATCAAACACGCAAAATATCGGTATTCACTCGATCAGTAAAGTTTTCAAACTGGTTTCTCCATTGATATCCAAGTGAGTATGCATGGCGGAGAAACCACTGCCCACGGGCCCGGCAGAATTCAGTTGTTACTTCGCTGACTCTGATTGTAAATCTTAAAGTGCAATATCAATGCTCGGACACTAAGGTTATTTGGGTATACGGTATTCAGCGGTCTTTAAACTGGTATACGGTTTCTTTCGCTTTAATTCGGCCACACCTTTGGGGTATAAGATTTTATGCGCTTCCTCTATGTTTGGGTGTATATAATGAAGAAATTTGGGGGATATACTGGGATGAGTAATTGCTTTGGGTATCAATAACACTGCCCGAACAGGGCTGCTACCTTTTTTTATCTTGAAAGGGTCTGAGAACTCGATTTACCGGGAAGTTTGTTTCGAAGTTTATTCCGCTGTTTCAGTTAGCAGTTCCCAGTCCCCGCCGCGTAGCACCCTATGCGGCCGAGTAAATTCATCCGAGAATTTTGTAAGTGCTAAGAAAGTGAAAGTCTATGATTCTTTCTGAGCAAGCTTTAAAAGGAAATGGCGATACACTTATAATGGCGATAAACTTTCCAAATAAGAAATCGTGCTAGAAAGAAACAGCAGCAGTTTATTTAAAGGGAATATTCTGAAGAAAGAGGTTTTGGCCTCAAGTCCCGGCAATGCAGTGATGTCCAATAGCTTATTGGTTCTTAATTTCGCTGGTACTTATTATAATTTCGCCATGTTGACGAGACAGTATTTCGCGGGGTTTTATTTTAGCGAAATCTTTAGGTAACTATGAAAAAGGGGAATTAAATTTCGCCATTTAAGCGCTTTCCATTTCATTAAAAAAGTCTGAACTGTTTAAATAAAATTTCGAGATAACGGACTTGTACGAATCTAGCGATTCAGATGAAAATGACCGCTACATAATTCACGTTATTTTGCACAACAGAAGATAAAAAATGGGACTTACCAGTTAATTGTTTGAGGACAGTGTATCTATCGAGACGTGTCCTGTAAATGTTGTTGTTAGTACATGTTAATTTTTTTTTTTCTGTGATTTGTATTTTCTATAAGGGCGTTAAATTTCGAAAAAATTTCGTGATTTTTTTCAATCGGGAAAAAAGCGAATGGATGTAATTATGGATCACGGCAAGAGCGTTTCAAAGCCAATCAGTAGAACCAGAAAGGACGAATTAGCGTCTCTCAGAATTATTGCAAAAAGCACAGTTGTCATTTTCGTTTCGACCTTTATTAAATGAGAAATAAATCCGAAATCCGAAATCCGAAATCATCGGTTGATATGCGTTTATGTAAAGTTTAAATTAACGCTAGATCAATTTGGCGATCGGGTTCCCATTTAAAGGGTTTTCTTCGTCTGAATCCCGTCAACTCCACTGTAGGGACCTCGAGGTAGTGTCGTCATTACCCGGGGGGGTACTCGATATATCCCTGGGTGGGGAGGTGCGGCGCGGTCCCTCATACCCTGACCCTGTTTAAGACAAATATCGCTGATTTTCCTACCCTGTTTAAGACAGAATTCCGATTTTTGATATCCTGTTTAAGACAAAAATTGATTAATCGATAGCCTGATTAAGACAAAAAATGATAAATTCGATACCCTGTTTAAGACAAAAATCCCGAAAAACATACCCTGGCTGGCCGCACGTCCCCATTAAGCCCTTATAAGGGAGTACCCCCCCGGGCGTCATTAGCAAGGGTCCGTAATAGCGGGAGTTTATATTTCAATCAAACGCCGTCTGTAATTTGTTTTTGCCGGCGGGGTGTCCGCAAGACGAGAGTTGACTGTAGTTACAGTCCGGAATTTATTTTTTACATGGGCTTAGACTTTCAGCTCTAATCAGATTTTGTAAGTTCATCAGGACACGGATTCTGGCTTTTAACAATTTTTACCGAATGTCTAAAGGTTGTATCTCTGCTTTCAGCTGAGTATCTGTAACATTTTTGAGAAGAGATTTGCATTGTAGTGTAACAGCTGATAATAAACCGTAGAAGCTGAGAGAGTGTACTCCTAAGTCATGTTTGAAGGCAAACTCTTTGCAAGTTAGGACTTTGTACGTTGTTTCTTATTTGGAGGTGTTAAACCTTAGACATAGCGTGTACCAGGCGTGGCGCCTTTAGCCGTGAAACTCGTCTGCAAAGTGAAAGGCAGTTACAAATCTTCCTCATCTTTTGACTGTGCTACTGATCCCGTGAAATTGCTTTAATTAATTTTCTTCTGTAAAATACTTCTGCCGTCGATTTATCGCATCATTGGTAAACCAGTTCAATGCAGTCGAATGTTGCCTGGCCGGAACTCGTCTTTCCGCCTCGGATCTAAGCACGTTCCACGCGCGATGCGAATTTCGCCAACTAAATCTTTGCTACGCGAGGCAAAAATTGCTTCACTAACTTTCTTTATGTTAAAAGAGTTGAACTATAATACCTGTTCTTGAATCACGATTTGAGAGTTGACTAGATTCACAAAGTTTGTTTCGGCCCAGTATCTCAATATTATTGTTTAAGAAAGGGGTCCATTACCTTTACCACTTCCTTAGTGTCAACAACATTGAGTTTGCAACAAAAAAATGAAATCGAGGCCGTAGTTTGCCAGTTTTAAGTCGAAGAAAGGTTTCCATTTTCCACTGTTAGTGGTTTCCAGCCAAGCTAGCTGTATTGAGAGATTTGTTGAAGGAGCAGCAGTCTCTTCCAAATCCATGCACAACATGAGACTTTCTATTTGCTTGGTCCTTGTACGGCGTTAATTCACAATAACGTTTGCCTTACCTTTAGGTTGCTCACAATTCCCTATTTTGCCGTAAGATCGTCGAGATCTAGCACTTACTGTTTCTGGCGGCCTACCTAGTTTCAAAAGTTCAAGGGTAAAATTGCTTTAAGGATAAGCTAAATTCCGTCATTGAGATAGAATGACAAGTAGCACTTCGCTGTTAGTAATTCTTCGACCGCCTTTTCAAACAAATGGAAACTTTTCCTTATTTAAATTTTATGTTTGTTGGCTTGCCCCTTTGTCCCCCTTAAAGTTAACCCATCCAACGATTCCTTTTCCTTTTTTATTGAGAAACAAAACTATGTAGGTAGCTAAGCGACGTCAAACCTAAACTAAACCCCAGTTAGTTCATGTAACTGTCAGTTTTATCCGTTTTTGTATGTGTATTTATACAAATCCGTATTTTTTCTTTTTGTTTTAGTTTTTTTTCTTGTTTCAGTAATATGTTTATTTTTCTGTGCTGTAATAAAGCATTAGATAAAAAATAAAAAACGTTGTTTCAACCTACCGAGGGGGCAGGCATTGGTGTACTCGTCCCCTATGTAGATTTGATACTCATCCCCGGGTTGTACTCCAGATTTTAAGTGACGGGGATGATTCGAATGGGGGCAAAATCAAAACCCAAAAAAATCTCTGAACCAAAAATTAACCCCCAAAAAATCCCATGGCGAATTTCCGAGTATTAAAAATGCTATAACACGAAAAATAAATTAGAAATTGAATATTTGTGTTTGCGGTTGAGATTCGCGGGCACCACCACGAGTTTTCAGATTGTTATGAATACCTAAAAACCCCTACTTAAATCAAGCCACCAAAAAAATAATTGCCAAATTTTCCTGCGCAAAAAAATCCCCGAATCGAAATTTTCAAACCCCAAAAAATTCTTCGATCATCCCTGCGCTCGAAATCCGGAGTACCCCTCCCCCCCTCTGGGGGCCGTCCGTACAGGTAAGGTGCGCATGTTCGTTCCCGATGATCTTTCTGGAAAAAAGGGGACTGTGAACAGTCTACCCTTAACTTTGCTAAATTCTAACTTCCATTTCATACCACTTTGTTACACCTTTGGCGCGAATCAACAGTAACCAAAACAGATCGCGACTTTCGATAAAACAAATTCTAAAAGACAGGTCATATTTCATATCATTCTGTTTCATTTTAAAGGCATCTGTCATGGACTACATAGACGAGGTTCATGAGGTACTTCAAATTGGCGTCATCGTTGCCTTTCATCTTCTCCAAACTGGGCGCGTTCTCGCAGCCGTCGATTTACTCAAGGAATGTTTGCTTCTTCTCAAAACCAAGGCACTTGAAATTGAAAAGAAACCGCTTGCATTAATTCGCGATTGTATATATCTTTATTTAACAATTGGGTATATTCGTGTAAAGGACCACACAAATGCGATGGAATCTGGCAGAGAATTCCTCGTTTTAGCTAGAAGAACTGGCAGAAGAGACTTGGAACTGAAGGTGACTTATAAACTGGCCGAATTGCATATGCTTTGTGGTAAGTATCAAGAAGCAAAAAAACTTTTTTTGAAAGCACTCGGCGTCTTCAAAGAAACGGGAGAACGACAGGGTTTGATAACCTGCTACGGAAACCTAGGAAGCGTACTTTGTTACCTTGGCGAAAGTGCGGAGGCAAAAGATTGTCACGAAAAAGCACTTGCTATTGCAAAGGAACTTGGAGACAGATTTAAAGAGGCCACTTGTTACGGAAACTTGGGGAATGTGTATCGCTATCTAGGTGAACATGGCAGAGCTAAAGCTTATTACGAAAGAGCTCTTTCGTTGACCAGTAGATATGGCGATATGGAGGAAGAAGCCTCTGTATTTTACTCGGGCCTGGGAAATGTGGTTCAGTCTCTTGGTGATAATGCCAAGGCTTATGAAAACCTAGAAAAAGCACTGAAGATAGCGAAGGATATTGGCGACAGGATGAAAGAAGCTTTCTGTTGTGGAAACCTGGGAAGGGTGTTTCATTCTCTTGGTAAGCATGGCAAGGCTGTAGAGTATATCGAGAAAGCAGTTGCGATTACCAAAGAAATTGGTGACAAGAATGGAGAAGCATTTGCCTACATAAGTCTGGGAAATGTGTTGAGGTCTACGGGAGAATATTTCAAAGCAGAAGAATATCTCCAAAAAGCGCTTGTGGTCATAAAAGAGATGAACTATGGAAAGAAACAAGCCACAGTGGTGTGTTACCATAATCTGGGAACCGTGTGTCATTCTCTCGGAAAATATGCCAAGGCTAAGGAATATTTCGAAAACGGTCTTCAGGTCGCTGAGGAAATAGAACACAGAAAAATGAAGTCCTCATGCTGTGGAAGCTTAGGAGGTGTGCTTCATTCTCTTGGTGAATACGCCAAGTCACAAGAATACGCCGAAAAGGCACTTGCTATATCAAGTGAGCTTGGGGACAAAGAAAGAGAAGCACAAGATTGTGGAATCCTGGTGGCTGTGCTTCATTCCCTCGGTGAATGTGGCAAGGCTAAAGAATACCTCGAGAGGGCATTAAAGATTCAAAAAGAAATTGGTGACAGGGCAGGTGTGGTAACAAGCTACATAAACTTCGGAGAACTGTATCGGGCTACTGGTGAATATGCTACGGCGAAGGATCACTTGGAAAAAGCACTCGTAATAACAAACGAATTTGGTGGCTACGAAAAGGAAAAAAAGGCCTTTTGTCACGGAAATCTCGGAAAGGTGTTTATGTGTCTCGGTGAACCTACCAGAGCGAAAGAACATCATGAAAAGGCACTGGAAATCAGAAAAGAAATTGGTCTCAAACAGGGAGAAGCATCAGACTACGTGGGCCTTGGGGCGGTGTTTCAGATTCAGGGTAGATATGCCAAGGCTAAAGAATATCTCGAAACGGCACTTGAGATCCAAAAGGAAACTGGCCAAAGAGAAGGAGAGGCGCAAGGTTACATAGAACTTGGAGATGTCTTCATTTCTCTTGGCGAATATGACCAGGCTAAAGAATGTCAAGCGAAAGCGCTCGCAATTGCAGAGGAAATTCGCCATAGCGTATTAGAAGCAAAAAGTTACGTACTATGTGGAAGTGTATCTGTGCTTCGCGGCGATTATGCTCAGGGAAAAAAATGGCTCGGACAGGCACTTGGGATCGCAAAAGAAACTGGCGACAAAGGAATGGAAGTATCGTGCTACTTACAATTAGGTAAACTGTTTCAGTTTCTTCATGAATATTCCAAGGCTCAAGAAAACTTCGAAAAGGCACTAACGATGTCAAAACAAATGGGGAAACGAATAGCAGAAGCATCAAGTTACGGAAATCTTGGAAATGTGTTTCTATCTATCGGCGAAAATGCCAAGGCTAAACAATATTACGAGAAAGCACTTTCCATGAGCAAAGAAACGGAATGCATCGAAAATGAGATGAGGGCGCTTGGAAGCCTTGCCATGATAATGCTATTGGAAGGCAACATAGATGAAGCTAAATCGTCTATCCTGGTCAGCATTCACAAGTTTGAAAAAATACTAGGTTTAATGACAGATACGGCTGACCATCTAAAGATATCATTATTTGATGAGCACTTTAGTTTCTACCAGTTTCTGAGTTTACTGTTCTGCCGCACTCAAAATCCTGACCAAGCACTTTACGCTGCAGAGCTTGGACGAGCAAGAGCCCTGGCAGATTTAATGTCGGTTCAGTACTCCGTGCCGAAACAAATATCACACAATCCACAGACGTGGACGGGCATTGAAACCGTTATGAAGAATGAACGCAAGTGTACCTGTCTTTACATTTCCTATGCATTTCACTTCATTCTTTTGTGGGTTATTAAAGCAGACGAATCCATACGTTTGCGAATAATAGATGTCAATACCTGTTTCGTTGACAAAGTCTCTCTAGGATCTGTGGATGAAATGTTTGGCATCGAAATCGTGAGGCAATTCCATACCTTATCTCAAGAGAAGTGTGAGGATCGGTCCTGGTTTTCTTCCGTTGCCAAGAAAGACAGCCTTGCTGCCAACCGCCTTGTAGGAGAGGATGAAGACGAAAATCAGCAACCCATTCCTACTCTTTCTGAGTGTTACAATATGATCATCGCCCCTGTGGCCGAATTCCTTGAAGAGGCCGAAATTGTTATTGTTCCTGATCGCTGCTTTTTCAATGTTCCGTTTGCGGCGTTACAAGATAAAAATGGAAAGTATTTATCAGAATCTTTCAGGATCCGCATCGTTCCCTCGTTGACAACTCTCAAGCTCATTCATGACATTCCAGCAGACTATCACAGCCAGACTGGTGTACTGATAGTGGGTGATCCTGATGTTGGTGAGGTGCTGTACAGAGGAGCTGTTTATAAACCGCCAAGATTGCCTTTTGCAGAAATGGAAGCTGAAATGATTGCACAACTGTTGGGAGCGAAACCTTTAGTAGGAAAGAAAGCAACCAAACGGGCTGTTCTTCGAAGCATCGATTCCGCTAGTCTTATACATTTTGCTGCCCATGGTAATGCCGAAAGAGGAGAAATTGCTCTTGCTCCTCCACCACTCGTTGAAAGGAAACCTCAATATCCCAGTGGACAAGGGGAAAAGAGACCTCCAAATGAAGAAGACTATTTATTGACAATGGCAGACATCTCACAAGTTCGACTTCGAGCCAAACTGGTAGTTCTTAGCTGTTGCCACAGTGCGCGTGGACAAATCAAAGCCGAGGGAGAGGTAGGGATCGCTCGAGCGTTTTTAGGATCCGGGGCACGCTCAGTGTTGGTGGCACTGTGGGCCATAGAAGACAAAGCAACAAAGCAGCTCATGAGTCGTTTTTACGAGCACCTTGTTCATGGGAAAAGTGCCAGTGAATCTCTTCATCAGGCCATGAAGTGGATGAGAGAAAACGGCTTCTCTGACGTTGGACAATGGGCTCCTTTCATGCTGATTGGAGATGACGTGTCTTTTGATTTTCAGAATTAAATGCACGATGAAAATTGCTTGAAAGCGTTTATAACCGAACAATCTGCAAAACGCCTTTCGGAAAAACGCTGTTATCAATGTTATGTTTTTCAAGACTTTGTGTCAAGGACAACCTGTCCAGATACCGCTTCTTCATTGAAATAGGAACAATTCTAGAAGAGGTTAGAGTCCGAGTGTAGTTCTTAATTCCGAGTGTAGTCTCCTCCGCCTTTTTCACCTGGAGCAGTAGCAGTGAGTCTGATGTCTATAATATGCGATCTACTGGTTTACGAAGTAAACGCAATTCCCTGGAATAAACTAAGGTTTACATGAAGTTACTTCAGTGTAACTATCTGGTGCCCATCTTGGAAGCTATTCCTCCCTTCGAATTCTAAGTATCTCTTGATTAGACTTAAAATTTTTTCAAAGTTCCTTTTATCGTCATGATGATGGTGAAATTTAAGTTAAAACCAAAACAATAACAACAGCAAAATCTGTGACCTTCTGGGTCAATGCTCTTGAACTTGAGGTGTCTTAGCAACAAAAGGTCACAAAAAGAGTTAAGGACCAAATCACCAGTAGTCCAGGGGCACAAACTGTTACAAAACTAAAAGTGATTTATATTTGCCATCACATACAGCAGTAACTTACTGCTTTGGCAAAAATGATTTATGAGTACTACCGCGTAACTTGTTTAACAGTGGCGGATCCAGGGGAGGAGCCCGGGTGGCCCGGTTCCCCCTTATTCTTAGACCAAAATGAGGCCCGAAGGACCGAAAAAATTTTTTTTGAGACCGCCCCCCCCCACCCTCATCTCAGGGTCTGGATGACCTCCAATCCCCCCCCCTCCCCTTATCTGAAGGTCTGGATCCGCCACTGTTTAATGAGCGAAGTTTGTGTGTTCTCATGGTCATATTTTCCAAGGAATAATGGTTATTTTTAGGGTAAAAATGTTAATATTGACCATGCTAAGTGTTTTGTACTATTTCTTTGATATTTTGATGTTTTGAACTTGAGGAGGCCTAATTAACACAAGCTATATAGTTTCCTTTAGGCCTCCTTGCCATTACTGTCTACATTTTTCGATGTGTACCTTTTTTGTAATTGTAATAATCTATCTGTGTTTCAAACAATACAAATACAAAGTAAGAGGTATACCTGCATGTCTCTAAAGTTTCGTAACTTATATGACCCACTCCTCTGAGTTTCCTTATTTTGAACGGTTTTCGACTGTCCTGGTCTTTTTCACTTTCACAAGTATCTGTTGTTTCAGTTAATTGTTAATTGTTCTTTAATTTTTTTTAATGGGAGCCTTGAGCAACTCTGACGGAGCTGCCGGTGAAAACGTCATTATTTCCTGCATTGTGAAGTTTCCAAATCGCTCAGCTTTTCAAGTGACTGTTTAAAAAACGCGCAGGAGTGTATTATCAAGGTTAAAAACTCGAGACGAACCGAGATTTTCCAACCTGGTAATACACGACTGCAAGTTTTTTGAACGGCTTCAAAATCTCTGATATAGATCAAGTCATTCTTGCACTGATATTTAGATTTGGGGTTATTTTGATCTACAAAATTAGACTTAAAGTTTCGCCGTGTCTATGAGATGTAAAGACACTCATTAGACCATAATTTTGAGTTTTTGAAGAGTCGAGAATTGTCCTGGAGTTGAACTCTTTGAGGGTGGTTTCCTATTATAGGAAAGGTTATTTGAAAATTACACGCACGATACTCCAAACAAGTGAACATGCTCTGAGGCATTCGCTTTCGGATACCGAAGTAAGTAACAAATTTTATTTCAGTTTTCAGCTGCCATTCCAGTGGCACCGATACGGAAATATTGGACAGGGGAGTCCGCAGCTTCGCTCTTTAATACTTTGTTTCACCGAACACCCGCTAGCCAGTTCAGCCTTGTGACCCCAAAATTTAAACTTGGTAGGTCTGCCTGGCTAGGGCATAATTACAACACAGCACCAACGAAAGAAGGTCTGATATGCATACTTACTGTTTTCAGTGATACACGTCTATTCACAAATAAGGATGATTATGAAAAAATTGAAACGAAAACAAGTTTTGTAAACTTTCCGCTGCATGAACGATGTCGAAGGGTCATGTGACGGAATAACCGAATCCTTTTGTGGGACTTTCAACAATCGTGGATTAATTGAAATTGTGTCGGCCGAATACTGTAACGTGTGTCGCGTCTTGGTGAGAATAGACTGCAAAACAGTCCGTATTTTTGCGTATTCAAGTACGCGCGAGCAGTCAAACAAAAGGTCTGGAACAAGGTTGAAAACAGAGAGCGAGACTCGCCTCACAAGCCCTACGGGCATGTGAGGATAGGGCGCTTCGCGCGCGTAAGACTCTTACGCCACGCTTTACCGATTTTTTTACTCATTTTTGAGAAAAATCCGACTGTTTTGCAGTCTAAGACAGGAGATGCCCATAGAAGCAACAGCCTTGCTCCACCGTAGTCGATGATTGGATTATTAATATTATGGGAGACAGCCTGTCTCCCATAATCCATTAAAAAAAGAGAATAATATTCTTTCTTGCATTTACTTCACCTCCTTCGTCTTACAAATAGAAAACTCTTTATTATTTTTAACTCCGCGACCAACGCAATGGAAACCAATCGAGTAAAGGAGCGCGTCTTTTATATGAGCTGCTTTGACCGGTTTACGAAACTGAAACGCAACGATTGATGAAATAGAGGTAAGTCCGCTCATTTCTTTTGGCATTTGAAAAATATTTGTCTGGCCGTCGCACGCAGTCAGATCTAACGCACTTTACGCATTAAACCGGTACGGTGATTGACAGCTACCGATTCTTTTACGAGAGTAGTCGGTCTTTAGCTGGCTTTCCGAAAGCTTATTTATTCAGTTATTATGCCGCACATTGAGAAACTGCGCACAGTAAGTACATGTTGCAAAAGACAATAGGGTCTTTAAGATCCAGCGACGCGGACGACAACGAGAACGTCAAAAAAACAATAGGTTTAATTAGCAAAAAGCAACTTTGCACGTGCATCACACTTTTTTGTACATTTCTTTCACGTTTTTGCACGACTACGACGTGAAAATGCCTAATTTCGCGTTTAATGGAGGACGTAAACAAGCAACGACGAAATTTTATTTCTCTTTCTGGGCTTGAATACGGTCCCTTGAAATTCAGCTTCAGGAGGGTTCGCCTACAATTGACAAAGTAAGTGGTTAGGAATAATCGCTATAAAGACTGAAAGAACGCAAATTCACTTTTTAAGCGACGTTCTTGTCGCCGTCGCGTCGTTGGATCTTAAAGTCTCTAATAGCATTCTGGGCGATGGTAAACATGAACTTAGCGCAATAAACATGTCGTACTCCCCTGACAAAAATTGTCATGTTACCCCCCTACCTTCCCATAACGGCCACCTCTCCACAACGGCCACTTTCTTCTGTCCCCAAGGTCGCCGTTGTGGAGAGGTTTGACTGTATTTCGTTTCATTTAGCGGGATTTTATTTAGCACTAAGTATCACTAATTAGACACATGGTTAAGGATATATATAGGGATGGATAAACAACAAGTTGACATGTTTTCATTGCTGCAAAACAATGATCTTAACGTAAAAAAACGTTTCTCCCTCGAGCGAAATTACGTCGGTTAATGGTACGGACAGTGAATGTTGCAGTTTCAGTTTTAATACACTTAGAATCAAAATAATTTTCTTACATATTTAGTAAATTAACAGTGTGCCTTAATTACTCGATTAAAGTCGCCCTCGAATGAACGCCGCACCTAATCGGAAGAATGCGGCGTTCATTCGAGGATTATAGGAATAAAACGAGGTGGAACTCGGTATTGTGATGATGATGTCGTGATCCAGGCAATTCGACTCTATCTCAGCAAAAGAGCGATTCAAGAGAACCTTCAACATCTTTCTGTTTTACATAATGTTTATTAATGATTTACAAGGACTGTTGTCACGCAGGGATTTGAAAAAATGAGGGTGATTTCGAAATAAACGCTGCATCGGAAATGCTGAAGATTTTATAAACACCGAGGCGTTAAATCGAGTAAATATGATATTGGTAAAGAATTAAACATTAAGCAGTTGAAATGACTTCCCTTGATGGTTTTAGCTTTAGTAATTATTACTTGATTGACGGCGATCAAGTTCTTGCTGATGAGTGAACCAGTGGTGTCATATTTATTCAAAAACTGTTTAATTAATGGCCAATGAGTGTCTTTAAAGCTGATAAAGACACGGCTAAACTTTACGTCCAAAATCACCCCAAATCTAAATATTAGTGCAAGAATGAGAATGAGATCTAAATCAGTGATTTTGAAGCCGTTCAGAAAAAAGCTCGCAGTCGTGTATTATCAAGTTTAAGTTTATAAGACCTATAAAATCCTTTGTCAATAGTCTACTAGATTATTGCCCATATAAATAGTGCCTTGGTTAGAAACATATCAACTGAGATTCGTTTAAATTTCATTTCATTTTCGTGACATTTCAATGCAGTCACACTTAAGAAAAACACTGTCATGGACGACGCGGTCGACGTTTTTGAAGCTCTTCTTTTTGGCTTTCCGGTTTCCGACTTTCCTCCTCAATTCCACTTATGTGCTGAAAGCCGTGGACTTGTCCAAGGAATGTTTGATTCTCGTCAACCAAAAAGCTCTAAAAATGAAACTGGATTGGCTACAGCTGAAATTAAGGACTAGATATATTACGGACTGTTTTAAGGGTACTGTCTGTTAAAAGATTACTCGTGTGCGATAGAATGGAGAAGAAAGGTTCTGGTCTCGGCTCGAAGGCGTGGCAACAGAAATGTAAAACGAAGGGTCACCTTTAGCGTTATACCGGAAAAATTGCATCATTACAAAGGCATATACCAAAAAGCAAAAGAGCTTTACGCTAAAGCGCTCAGCTTTATGGTGCATGCTGGTGAGAAGACCTTGGAACTTAGTTGTTACGGAAACATGGGGACTTTGCATTGGTCAATGGGGAAATATTCCGAGGCGAAAGAGTATCTTGAAAAGCACTTGCCATAGCTATAGAAATCGGCTTCCGGAACAAGAACCTTAGTGCTACTCAGAGCTCGGAAAATTGGTTCACTTTCTTTGTGAATACGCAATTGCTAAAGTCAACCAGGAAAAAGCACTGGCGATATCAATAGAAATAGGTGACAGAAGGAATGAAGGCTTGTGCTATCAATCAATCTGGCAACTGCGTTTCAGTCGCTTGGTAAATATACAACAGCTAAAGAACACTTTGTAAACGCAATTGCGATCATCCTTGCAAAAGAAATCGTTGATAGGGAAAATAAGGCCTCTTGCCTCGCGAAATTAGGAAGTTTCTTTCATTCTGTTGGTTATTATTCCAAAGCTAAAGAATATCTGTAAACAGCAATCGCGATCCGCAGTAGAAATCAGTGACAACAAAAGTGAGGCCTTGTATCACGGACAACTTGGACGGGTGGGGTTTTTCTCTCCACCTTTGAATAGACTGAATATGCTAAGGCAAAGGAATGATACGAAAAAGCACTTTCAATCACAAAAGAATTGTGCGATTAGAAAAGTCAGCCAGCGTTCTACACCAACCTGGGACGGTTGGGGAATATGTCAAGGCTGGCGAATGTTACGACAAAGAACTTGCTGTCACAAAAGAGTTGGGCGACAGAAGAACTGAATAAGGCACGTTTAACGTCGAATCGGGAAATATATGTCGTTCTGTTCGTCAACATGCCAAGGCAAAAATATATTATGAAAAAGCACTTGAGATCGCAATGGAGATTGGCCACAGGGAGAATAAAATCTGGTGTAACACAAATCTTGGAAATGTATTGCAGCCTGTCGGCGAGCTTGCTAAGGCTATTGAATATCACGAGCGAGCACTTGCGATCGCAAAGGACAACCTTGTCCCCAGGGCTTTTTCCCTGGCTTTGAGAAACGGGAAAAGCGCCTGGGGACGAGGTTGACACAAACAAAGAAGCCGTCACATTGGCGACTTAAGCGAGGCCGGCCTTATCACCTCACTACAGTTTAGGAAATATGTTTTATTCTCTCGGTAAACTTGCTAAAAGCAAGGAATGTCTCGAAAGAAAAACCTTTTCGAAGTGAAAATTTGTATAAATATTAGGATATTGGTTTTTACCTGATCTAATACTTCATGAAAGTAAAAACTCAGAAGGATAGGTTGCTTATCATATGATTTAGTTTCTTGAGTACACAGTCAGTCCTAAAAAAAAAAGGTTTTCTGTAAGACTTCACATTAAAATCAAGTATTACTTCCTATCACACCGGCTGTAAGGCTATAGGCTATTCTCGAATATTTAAAGAAGCTGACACCTGACATCCCCTAAATTTCTGTTTTTAAAAAAACGTTTTATTGAGATGATGAAACCTTTAATATAAAGCTCCAATATCCACATACAAATTCTACAGATCTATCTCCATACATTTTATATTTCCTTAAAGAAATAGTTGGGGTTGAAAAAATGTGTTCATATATCAAATCATTTTTACTGTGGTCACCATATTTTATTAGTTCTTGTAACATTTCTACTTGATTGTTGTTGTTGTTATTAAGAGAAATTTCGTGTTGGTCACCTTGGGAGCTATTGACCCCTTCATACTGGATGATAAGCTACTGATGTCAATGGCTTAAGGGCAAATTGTTTTTAAAGGGCATTAAGTATATTTATATTGCTCCCCGGCTTACTTAATAGGTGATATTATAAATTCAAATTCAGCTTAGCTTCCATTTAAGTATCGTCTAGTGTATAACTTTAATTGTGTAGTGCATCTATAAACACACAACTTTCAAATAAGAGTCTTCGGTGTTTCAAAATTTTTCACACAGAAAGATCAGTAATAATAGAAGGACTGACTCAAGCGATACTGATAACCCTTCCTTAGCCGCCGCTTCTCTTTTTTTGGCTGAATTATTATGCAGGGGCAATACATTTTAGAAGCAACAATATTTACCCTCTAGATGTGATCAATAATTTATATGAACATTTTCTGCAGAGAAACTTCAGGTTAATGTCATCATTGTCATTCTGTCGCCTTGCTTTCATAATCAATTGTATAATTTTTTTTTTAAAATGTCTTACGTTCCTAATGTATATCGTGCGTCAGTTTCTTGAAACACGCTTTGAAACGAACGCAAGTTCGATATCATAGAGATAACGCTTTTCAAAAATATCGTTGAGTAAAAGTCAGCGGATTTTTCACAAAGACTTCAACAAGGCTAACGGAAAACCGTAATGATGGGCGTATAAAGAAGCAATTCCCTGGCTGAATTTGATTAGCACTGTCAAAGCCGATTGCATTCGATCCGCGAGGAGGCCAAGATTAAATTCTTAACTGATTCCTTCAGGAGCGATCGATCACAGATATTGTTCAAAATCTCTGGCAGATGCTTACGCAACGGATAGTTCCTTCTGGGCCCAGACCACAAAGATACAATTGCCTGGTGCATCCTTCTATTTGCAACGACTTCAGGAAACTGGACAAGACGAAACATAAAACTACATTTTCCACTACATGAACACTTTAGCTACAAACGTAGGACATTTACCCTTATGTAAGGAAACATTCAAAATATGATTATCGTTGCTATCTTTGGCCTGATTTGAAAGGGAATACACTCGAACGCATGATTGGACGAATGTGATATCAAGCGGTTCAATGGCAGAGGTTAGCAACACAACAAACTGCGACCAAACTCTAGAGATAACATTCTGGGTCCTTAACTTAACCATAGGTGCTGTCACCCTCTCTGGAAATATTATAGTTTTGGCCGCCATAGTAACGAACTCAACTCTCCGTCAATATCCGTTAAATCAATTTCTTGCCTCATTAGCTGTCAGCGACATCATCATGGGCGCATGCGTCAGTCCCACTTACTCTTTGTTTTGCCTTGGGTGCCTGGATTACCCGCTGAGCAAATACTGCCGGCTCATGGAGGGTCCAAAAGACATTGCTCTCAGCTCCAGTAGCCTTAATTTACTTGTTATTTCATGTGATCGCTACTTAGCAGTTTACTGGCCTCTTCGGTACCAGACAATCATGACTTCTCGGAGAGTTGTCCTACTTTTTTGTCTCTCATGGGGGGTGGCCTTGACAGTTGCTGGAATCCGCCACGTTTGGACGCACACGAAGCAAGGAGCTGAATTAGATCACATCGACAGCGTCTACAACATATGGCTTATCACCTTGTTTGTCGTTATCCCTTGCATAATTATCACTATAATCAATATAAAAATCACGCTGGCCATCAGAAAACAAGTACAGCGTATGCAGGATATTGCTCTTGAAATTGCGCATGCCCAAAATGAGAACGAGGCTAATAGCCCGGATGAAAGTCAAGTTGAGGTACTACGAAACCGAAAAGGAACTTTTGCTTGTGTTTTAGTCGTCATGGTGTTTGTAGTATGCTGGATTCCACGGGTAATTTTTAACTTTCAGTACCGTACAAAAGGTAATCTTGCTGCGGTAAACACGCTAGTCCAGAAACTTTCAATGTTTTTCTTAATAGCACAGTCATCTGTGAATCCATTTATTTATTCCTTCTGTCGAGCTGATTTTCAAAGGGCTGCTGCCAAGATTTTAAAATGTAATAGCCACTGAAAAACGTGCTCTATACTCTAAGACTGTGTTGGTCTCTACGAAAAATAAGAAACGACAAGCGATTTCACCACAACTAAGAAAGCCAGGAGCTGAAGCTCAGGAATGGAGATTACCAAAGGTACCAATTTTTTTCCATTTTCAGGGAGTGGCCCAAACTTACCCCACTGAAAATTAACCAAGAGTCAAATTGATGAAGGCTAGCAGGCCTTTTGGCGCGAGTTTATTGAAAAAATTGGGATGAGAGCGAAAAAAGGGAAGAAGGGGCTGGAGGAAGAAAGAAAAGAAAACATTTCTGACCTTATTTCAGGGAGAGATAAATCATATAGACCTAGGTACGGTTAAAAGTTTTGAGGTTATGCATTACAAGAGAATGGACACGCAACGGAGAGATTTTGAATCACACTCACCGGGGGCTGCAAATGTCAAATTCAAGTGTCAAAATCTCAGATTAGGAAATGAACAGTTAGAAACTAAACAAAATAATTTTTACGGACGGACTTGCCAGTAAAACCTTACTTTAATGAAAATACAAGAACAGTAAATGGACACGTAAAGGAAAAGCCTGTTACGTGGTACAAACTGAAGATTGTCGTTTGCAATAAACATGATTCTCAGGCTGCGTTCACATGGCAACGGACAAATTTTTGACTGAAAAATTGCCCAGACACTGTTCACACGAAGCCGTTCAATATTTTTGCTCTGTTCTGACGAACCAGTTGGCGTCTCCTGGCTGAGCTGCCGCGTACCATGTAACCACGCCTTACCGTACAGAAAATTAGACAGTAAAGGTTGATTTCCACTGACGCGTTTTTGGCTACGCACGTTAACGGACGTAAATAATAATCACGTAAATAAAATAGAGGCAAGATAAAAAGTGCTGAGCTTAAACGAGAAGTTGAGCAAGGTTCAACTTTTACGCTTACGAGCGACCTTTCATGCATTGCCTCTATTTTATATTTCATCAGGGGAAAGGTAGCCGCAGCATAAGCCTAAACAGCCATTATCTGGTGTTATTCAAGAACCCACGAGACAAATTGCAAATCTTGACTCTTGCCAAGCAAATGTATCCCGGGCAAACTGATTTCTTTTTAAATCAGTACGAGGAGGCTGTAAAAAGACCTTTTGGTTATCTGCTGATTGATCTGAAAACTACTACCCAAGATAATTGTCGATTGCGAACAAACGTCCTGCCCAGTGAAGAAGGTTTTAACCAAGCAAGTTTTATGTAACTTTTACGCAAGAACGCACGTCAAAGTTACGCGACACTTAAAATCAACCCTTATGGTGGCCACCTCGCGCCGTCAAATTTTCGACCGTACCGGATAAATTTGACCTCGACTTTGGCGTTTAAATTTAAGAACGGCTAGGCGTCTAACTTTTTTGCACAGTTAAGGAGATTCCTTATTACCTTCTGCTTTTAATGCATTCTGCTCTAAAGTTAGTGAGATCTATCATTACGAAACACGATCTGCAGCTAATCAGTCAATTACCTTCCCAAACTGACTAGAACTAATGATGGAAAATTTAATACTAGGTTTCAAGGACCAAAGATCTGGAACTCAATTGATGGGTAGCCTGAGAAAACAGCCAACGTTTGGCAACGCTACCACTACTGGTTTCCCCGCCAAATGACGTCTGAGAAACGAGCGCAGAAATTCCATACTGATGACCATGACGCCTCACTACTCAGATCTCTGTAGTGCTTTTGATTGGTCGTGCCGCGTAGGAATTCTGATTCAACCAATCAGAAGCACTACCCAGATCTGGGTAGTGACGCGTCATCAGTATGGATTTTCTGCGCTTATTTCTCAGACGTCATTTGGCAGGGAAACCAGTGGTAGCGTGGCCAAATGTCGGCTGTTTTCTCATGCTAATTGATGGTCAGATTAAACCTTTTTCTTTTTCTCAATTTAAATCAAAACTAAAACAACAGTACCTTTCAGTGTACTAATTTCGGAAAATATTTTGTACTTCGTAACTTCCATCCTTCTTTTTTCGTTTTTTCCTTAAATACCTGCTAGTCATCCTCGGAGACCTAGGGGCAGTCAGTCAGGTCGGGTGAAAAGGTGGGACGAAAGTTTTCAAGAACGGGCAAAAGAGCCCCTGGGTACCGACTCTCACCGAACTATTTCCAAAAATTCAAGTGGATGCCGGCTCCTGATTGGGCACAAAAAATGCTTTGTATTATTGTGCCCAACTGGCGAACAGTTTCTCCTGAGTTCTTTTCGTGACTCGTACACGACGGCTATTGTCTCGATCACGGCTTGTCTGGTTCATGCACCAAAGAAATGCACGCAGTCAGGAAACTTTCAGTGTGATAAAAAATCCCCATCTGATTTCAAAATACTGTCTGCCCGAAAACTAAAGACGCTTTCTAAAAATACAAGCTTGAACTTACAACAGGAAATATTAGGGAGTTTTTAAAAGATACCACGATGGTTGCCAGCTACGAAAACGTCGCATGGAAAAGTGAATTCACATTTTTTCCGTCTCTATCGTGATTATTTTAACTCGCTTACTTTGTCACATGCAAGCGAACTCTTCTGGAGCTGAATTTCTATCAACCATATCCAAGTTCATGAAGAGAATGAATTTTGTCATTTCTTGTTTAAGTCCTTCACAAAACGTGAAATTAGGCATTTTCACGGATAGCCGTGCAGAGAAAAGTACAAAAAAGCATGATGCACGTGCAAAGTTGTTGCTTTGCCTTATCAAGCTATTGCTTATTTGACTTCCTCGTCGCCGCCGCATCTTAAACTTCCTATTATTTACGATACATTGTGATCCGTCAAAAACAGAATATTCTCGAGGCAAATTGAATTGCTCCCGCTGATAGCATCCCAAACGTTTTTTCGACTCATCGGTAGTTCCTTCGTTTCTAGTTAGGAAAGTAGAAAATAAAAGTTTCCCTTGCACGCACAAGCTTGGTGAACGAACCGAGCAATAGCCGTCGTGTACAAACTCACGAAAAGAACTCAGGAGAAAGTTTTCGCCGATTGGGCACAACAATACAAAGCATTTTTTGTAGCCAATCAGGAGCCGGCATCCGCTTGAATTTTTGGAAATAGTTCGGTGAGAGTCGGTACCCGGGAGCTCTTTTGCCCGTACTTGAAAACTTTCATCCCACCTTTTCTCCCCACCCCACTGACTGCTCCTGGGTCTCCGAGGATGCCTGCTAGTGTGTGTGCATGAGTCACGGTGTGTTGGTGTTTGCATGTATACTGAATACATATCATCCTTATAAGTTGCCATGTTGTATCTCCGCCATAAACTTTTGTAAATTAAATAATTTTGACATCTTGCTTTTGGTAAAATTATTTGTTGTTGTTGTTCTTGTTGTTTCGTGTGAACGGAACACTTACATGTCAACGCACCAATTTTCAACCTGTCGAAAAATCCTTCGTTGCCTTGGAAACTTAGCCTTAATCTCTAGTAATGAAAAGCTACGCAATTACTACAGGTGGATTTAATAGGGTTGGTCCGAGGGGGCCATGAGCATCTCTTTTTCCGAGAATTATCGGTAAAATAAATAATACCGATATAGCTGGCAAGAGTCCCCCTACCCCTTTCTGAATTGTGTGGATTCGCCCCCGAGTACAACAATGATACTTTCTTCCGGCGGCTCATTGTAACTGACCTCTCTGATACTAGGGCCCTTCAACGAAATTAAACTACGACGGTGATCCGCAAAGGGAAGGTCTAAAACAAAATAGGTTTACCAAGCAAAAAAACAGCTCTGCACGTGCATCACACTTTTTGGCAAATTTCTTTGCCGTCCCTGCACAACTACACCGTCAAATGAGCAAATTTTAAGTGGACTCGCAAACAGGAACGGCGAGGCGATAAATTTTACTATCTCTTTTGGCTGAACTCGAACCCTATCACTCTTTTCAGTTTTAACCTGATTTACCGTTAAAGTCACTGGGTGGCTTGGGATAAGGGAAAAAGTTTGAAAGAAAACGAAGTCCATTTTTCAGCGACTTTTTCATCGGCGCACCCTTTGTCGGATAGTAAGGTCACCCCTAATTCCCAATCCCCACGCTCACGATTAGCTTTGCAGGACCTTGCAGGCCTTCTTACAAGTAGCCTCCTTGTAGCGAGAAACCCTTACTCGAGATGGCCTGCGTAGCAGGCTGTTATTTCGGGTGTGTCTTTCGTTTGTGGTTCGTAAAGTAAGAGATATGGCCGCGCGAAAGCTGAACCGAGGTCAAACGAGAAAACGACGGGGGACGGGAGGTTCTCTCTGCTTTCTCCCCTTCGCTCCCTCTTCCCTCGTTTTCTTGTTTGACCTCGGTTAAAACAGTTTAGGTTCGCGAGGTCTTAATTTTCTCTTACTTTTCGAACCACAAACCAACAAGAAGCCGCCTACTACGCGGGCTAAGCTCGAGAGCCTGCTCGTGGCCTGTCGTTCAAGCGGAATTCTTGTTAAAGATGCTCATAAATCCCGCGCGATCTTCAAGAGTTGGACGACGCTTCCTTTTGGACGAATAACGTACAATGGGGATGCGTGTTGACCAAGTTTTAGTAGTAGTGAACCGAATTATAATGATGTACTGCTCAGTATATTTGAAACTTTTATCTTGCAACTGATCTAAACCACTCAAAGAGAACAAACCTCCTTTTCTCTGTCCCTACTGTAAATCGCGGAAACTAGTCTCGGTTTTTCCCGCCACATGCCAGGTTCATTAACTAGCCGGGGGGTGGGGGTAGAAGTACTGAGATGAAACTAGTTATTTCAATAATGATGAATTTTTATTCATTTAAACAACTACGCAATTCAGGCTACGTTTACACGCGGGAAACTGGACGAATCTTCGACCTATTGAAAACTCGCAGCCTCGTTCCCAGTCGTCCTCGGCGATTTCGGATGTGACGTCACCTGTCAAGCTTGACGGGAAAATTCGCCTATCGCGCTTGGTTCCAAGCCTCCCATTGTAACTCGGATAGCGCGAATCGGCTCCTGCCTGGGTACGAGGCTGGAAAACTCGTACGTTTTGATGCCCCGTTCACACGGAACCGCCTTAACCGTACGAAGATTTTGACGCCTAGCCGTTCCTCTCTTCTCCTCAGAGGCCTCTTTGTCTCGTAGAGAGGCTGGGGAGAAAGAGAAAAATAGTGCGCGGGGCCCATCATCCACCGCGCTTTTTCTACTTTTCCATTATCGCGCTATTTTTATTGAAATATTTAGCGGAAGCCTCTGCGGACGAGAGGGGCCGTTCAAAAATTTGAACGCCAAAATTGAGGTCAAATTGTTAGCCGGTACGGTAGTTTAATCTACTGAACCACGACCGTCCAATGTTTTGAACGCAAAGGCGTGGTTGTACGGCCTGTTGATGAATGCATGGTAACTCAACTGGAAGACGCCATTTAAGTTGCGCTTTGCGTTTTGGCAAATGGTAAAACCTCTGACAAGATTCAACCTGGTTATTCAGTTCCGTGTGAACAGAGAAAAAATATTGAACGGTTCCGCATAAACGAAGTGTCCATTCAAATTATTCAACCAGTTCAGTAACTCATTATGATTTCCGTAATGTAATCAAGAAAACCCATTTTACTGGCCAACTGATCTTTTGTAACCTTTGAAATCAAACAGCAATAATCGGAAAAAAATGCCAATATTTTTAAAAGCTTCTGCTAAAGGAAATCAAGGCCAACATTTTGCACAATGTACGCATGCTCACTTCAGTTTTCGATGCAAATAACGACAAAAAAGGAAAAAAAGACGCTGACTGTTCACCAAGCTTCAAAGTGGTTTCAAAAACTATGAGGCTAAATGTTTTCAAAAGAATACCTCGCTCCGTCATATTTAGATGGGCCACAGTAATGGCCTTGAAATGATTTTTTCATAATTCTAACACCATCATAAAAATCAGGAAAGCAACTTATTAAGCTAGGACGTGGTATATAACAAGAAACAATAATTGGACAGAGAGGGAAACGCCCAGCCTAGCCCTTGGGATATGTGAATTTGTAAGTTAGTTTTAGATCAATTGAACGTTTGAAACTAGAGAGCTTTAGATTCTAAGACGAGTACGACAACGAGTACGAGATTTTCTCAGTACTAAGTACCGGTATTGTTCGCGCCTGAACCAGCGTCATTTTGGTGGGAAAAATTGGTAGCCGTCGCCACTCCACTACGAGTCTTAGCGAGAATGTCAAAGTGGCGGAAACAAGTTGTGAAATGTTAGAAGTTTTAACATTTTGCGATCGGGAGAGGGGGTAACCTCTTTCACTAAAGATAACAGTGCTAACTTTTAAGTGAAAAATGGTACAATGAAGCTTTCCGGGGAGTCTATATTTTGAGAATACGCGAAAAAACTTTAACTCAAATCTCGTACCCGTAGTCGTCCTCAAAGGTCTCTAATAATCGAAAGCTTGTATCCAGAGTGGTCAGCAAATCGTTATTCGGTGTTGTCACGAGAGAACCATAAGACATTATGCGGACGTCCCAGGAATTAGACTTCCCTCTAATTACAACCTCTAAAAATAACTTTAATGAAAATCACATGTCCTGGGCTACACCCTAAGATTCCCTCTCTGCCCATTATACACTCTGGTATGTAATCATAACGAAACGTTGAATAATCTAAGACTAAGTACATCTAACTCAGAGGCACCCAACGACGGTTTCCTCCTAAATACATCGAAATCACTTTTAAAGCTATTCAGGGTACTTTTAGATCTCTAGGAATGCATTCTAAGCAGCGCTCTAAAATTGGAGTCTGTTTGGTCATCCTAGGGGAACTTGACTGTTATCAAAATTACGAGGGTTTCAGTTTTATTTTCCTGACAATTTAAGATGCAATTAAATGTATTTCGAAAGTGAGATTTTTTTCTGATTACTCTTCTGTCACATTTTTGAATCCAAAAATTTTTAGGTTTCCTTTTTTCTACGAAAAATATCCAAACCTGGGGAGTGAAATGTGCAAAATTAAACTTCCGAAAATCATAGGGAATTTATTAGATGAGCTTCGAAAATTGAACAGGACAGTAACGGTTATCAAGAAAATTTTAGCCGTCTTCAGGCAATAGAAAATTCTAGGCAATACCGTAAATCTTATATTAAACCCTTCTCTCAAATAAGCCCCCCCCCCCTTTTCAGGGGAAGAAAGGTAATAATCTCCCCCTCTTTATTAAATCCCCCTTCCCTCCCCTATTTATTCTTCACTAATAAATGATAGACTGTATTAATCAACAACTAATGTAAAACTTCGTGTGGATTGATCCGGGGTGGTTGGTTTAATAACTGGAAGATCGGATTTGATTCCGATCCGCGGCTGCATGACCTAAAACTTCTCGTACTTGAGCTTTTCCGCGTTGTATTCTTGTTCTTTATGGAGAACCGATAACATCGTCGTTTCTAAATTAACTAAACCCCCCCGGGGGGGGGGGGGGGGGCTTAATAGAGGTTTTAGGGTATTTTCTTCCCCGAAAAAAATTTTTTCCAGAAAAAAGGCGCGGGGCCCCTCCTAACCTCATCCACTGAACCAAAAACATGTGATAAAAAAAATCTTTGCCTCCCGGTTCCGGCCAGTACAAAGCTTTGGGGATTATTGCTTGTTTCGTCGTTGTTATCTTTGTTCTTTTGGGGAAAATGAAATAACTGGGTTGTTTAAATTACCTACACCCCCCCGGGGGGGGGGGGGGGGGCTTAATAGAGGATTTACGGTACTTGCTTCTCCGAACAGATATTTTTCCAGCAAACAGTCGCTGGGCCCCTGCTAACTCAATCAGCTGAACACAAAACAGTTGATGAAGCAAATCGTTGCCTCTCAGTTCAGGTCCGTACAAAGCTTGTGAGATTATAGCTTCATTTGCTCTGCTCATCTTGGCCGGCACTGCAAACTAAAAATTTATGACCATTACATACTCTACGGGTAATCAGAGTGAATTTAAGAAAAACAATATGTAAATAAATAAGATTTTTATAAATCTGTTGTATTCAACGGAAAATTAAAAACATTTTAACCCTATTCAAGCTAGGAGGTTTTTGGCCTTCTGTGGCCAAGGAAAGGCTGTTAACTCCACCCTCACTTGGTTTTATATCGACATTGATACTACATTATGAAACGTGGAGGGTTATAATAAATCATTTAAAGAAATGATCTTGTGACGTCATCTGAGGTGCCAGTGATGTCACCGTTCCAATACTACATTATTATGGAGGGTTATAATAACTCATTAAAAAGAATGATCTTGTGGCGTCATCTGAGGTGCCATTGACGTCACGGGTCCAAATAACCGCCTTGTCGGATCTTCATTTTAAAAAAAAACGACGAAAAGCGTTTGATATCAATGACACCTGACGAATTTTGTGATAGAAAAAAAAGAAGAATACAATCTATGAGGACTAATAGAATACGGGCTTAAGGTGAGGGCGCTGATAAGGGCGCTTGTTAAGCAACAATAAATAAACAAACTAACTTACGAGAGCGTTTTTAACAAACTTCCACTTGCCTGGGGCCGCTCATTGAAAAAGGGGCCCTTATTGAAGGAAGAGCGTCGAATTGAAAGTATGTTAAATAAATCACTGATTGATACCAACCTTTCGCTCCAAAATCAAATGTCACGTTATCTCCAATCAGCATGAAAGGAGCCCATTGCCCCACTTTGGAGTATCCGTTTTCTCTCATCCACTTCATGGCCTGGTGAAGAGATTCACTGGCACTTTCCCCATGAACAAGGTGCTCGTAGAAACGACTCATGAACCGCAATGTTGCTTCGTCGTCTATGGCCGACAGTGCCACCAACACTGAGCGTGCACCGGATCCTAAAAACGCTCGAGCAATTCCAACAACTCCCTCTGCTCTGATTTGTCCTTTTGCACTGTGACAGCAGCTAAGGACCACAAGTTTTGCTCGAAGCCGAACTTGGGAAATTTCAGCCATTGTCAACAAGTAGTCGTCCTCTTCTGGAGTCCTGTTAATGGCGGGTGGAGGGGCGAGGACAATTTCCCCTCTTTCAGCATCACCATGGGCAGCGATATGTATCAGACTCACTGAATTCATGCTTTCAAGAATCGCCTGCTTGGTTGCTTGCTTTCCTAGCAGAGGTTGAATACCGAGAAGTTTTCCAATCATCTCTGCCTCTTCGCTTGCAGAAGGCAGCCTCGATACCTTCTCAATACTTTCCTTGAACAGCACGCTTCCAACCTCGGGATCCCCCACTATCAGTGCACCAGTGTGACTGTGATAATCTTCTTGGCTGTCATGAATGAGCTTCAGAGAAGTCATAGAGGGCACGATGCGGATCCTGAAACTCTCTGATAAATACCTTCCATTTTCTTCCTGCAGTGCTGCAAATGGAACGTTAAAAAAGAGGCGATCGGGAACAACAATAATTTCGGACTCAACGAGCGAATCAACTACAGGAGCGATGATCATTTTGTAACAGTCAACAAGAGTATGTTCTGGTGATTGGTGTTCATCCTTCCCTTTTTGCAGTTTGGGAAATTCTTTCTGGGTGGAGCTGCAGGCGTTCGAAGGAAACCAAGATCGATCTTCGCACTGGTTTTCAACTAGGACTTCTCTCCAGGTTTCGTTGCTAAGAACTTCATCGACGCCTCTTGACGAAAACTCACTACCTAAATATTCCCTGATGTTAATTGTTCGATTGCGTATCGGTTTGTCTGCTGCAAGAATCCACGTACACAGGAACGTTTTCTACGGATACGAAAGATACAGAAAAACACTGTTACGTTCATTATTTACGATTTCATGAAGATCAACGTATGCCTGTGCACTGGTGGACGTTTGACCTTCCACAGAGTAACGAGTTGATAATAAGTCCACCAATGCTCTGGATCGGGCAAGTTCTTCAGTTTGAAGAGCTTTAGCATGCCTCCCTTTTACAATATGAAGTAAACTGAAAACGTGGTAATCACTTAAATTTTTATCCAGAAACGACATCTTGAACTGCTCATTACCTCCCATCGCGTTTAGCATATCCTCATACCCAGAAACGCTGGCCGAGATATGCGATTCAGCCTCATGTAAGTTCCCCTGCGATAGCTTGATTAATAACCAATCAAGGTGGCTTCTTACCTCACTTTCAATGTCTCCAGCCTTACAGCTCAATGCAAGTGATTTCTCGTAATATTCTTCAGCTTCGGAAAATTCACCTAGGGAACAACAAGTAGAGACAAGACTATCGTAACAATAAGCTTCTTTAAGTCTGTCGCCCATTTCTTTCCAATGCAACAATGCGTTCTGTGTATATTCTTTAGCCTTGCGATATTCAAAGAGTTTTGGTAACAAACATCCTAGGAGAAAACTCACGTTTGCTTCTCCGCTTCTGTCACCAATTTCTCTTGCGATGGCAAGCGCTTTTTTGTAGTATTCACTCGCCTTGTGGTCCTCTTTGAGAGAACCAAACACTGTTCCAAGAGTTGTATAACAAAAAGCTTCTACTTTTCTCTCGCCAGTTGTTACTGCGATTGCCAGCGCTTTTTCAAAATATTCTTTGGCCGTGGCAAACTCACCGAGAGAATAACAAGCTCCTGCTATTCGTATGCAATTTAGTAAAGCTTCCTTTGTGTTACCAGTCTCTAAACTAATTGTCCTTGCTTTTTGATAACACTTTTTAGCTGATGCATCATCAGCGAGGGAAACTAACACCCCTCCTAGACAACTATAGCTTTTTGGTTCTCCAGTTCTGTTGCCAGATTCTTGCCATAATGCAACTGCTTGTTCGTAAAATTCTTTAGCCTTTGAAAATTTCCTGAGAGATTTGTACACATTTCCTAGATGTTCATAATTAATTGCCTCCCCTTTCTTGTCGCCAATTTCTTTTGCAATAACTAGTGCTTTTTCGAAGTACTCTTCAGCCTTGACAAGGTCATGGACTGACCAAATCACACTTCCTAGTCTTGTTAAGCAGCTGGCCTCCCCCTTTTTGTCACCCATTTCCCTTCTCTTGGTAAGTTCTTTTTCGTAAACTTCTTCCGCCTTATTGAATTGATGGCGACACACAAACGCAACTCCTAAGCCTCCTAAGTAGGTGGCTTCGTTACTGTGGTTGCCTAATTCCTTTGCGTAGCAAAGTGCTCTTCTGTAACATTCTTCAGCCCTGTAATGCTCACCAAGACGATTGAACACTGCTCCCAGGTACGCGTGACATACCTCCTCTTTTTCCCTGTCGCCAATTTCCTTAGCAATTGCAATTGCTTTCTCGAGATATGGTCGGGCCTTAGCAAACTCGCCGAGAAACGGAAGCACTTTGCCTAGGGCTAGCGAACAACGTAGTTCTCCTCCTGCATCTCCCGTCTCTATCATGATACCGAGTGCTTCTAAAAAAAGCTCTTTCGCGTCTTGATATTTGTCTTGACGTTCATGTAAACACCCCAGCTGAAAAGTTACCCACCCATCGTCGCATTTTTTGCCACTCTCTCGTAGTAAGGTCTGAAGCTTTCTACCACATTCTATCGCGTTTTTAAGATCATCAGTGCGCAATAACGCGCTGAACATCTTACTATGTATATCTTCGCAGTATAATCTGACTATAGACATGTAATATGCTCCAGCTTTTTTCAGGGCGTTGTTTTCGAGGAAAATCAGACATTCCTTGAGTAAGTCAATAGCCGCCTTAACACGGTTTGTTTCCATTAGGTACTTGGCAGTTAATACGCCTACACAGAGGACTTTTTCAATTTCCTCAAAGTTGTCCATTATCACGTCGACACTAGAAAAGATGCAATAAAATAAGAGTAATTTGCATTGGTGAGACAAACTGTAGTTCTTTCCATACACGAAGGCGATCATTTTTATACATTTTGATCAGGCGTTCACAAAGAAGAAGTTCCCAAAACGGTCTTTTGAACTGGCTGGTCTATCTTTTTGGTTTGGACTGACCAAAAACGGAGGTTTTTGTAAACGTCTTCATAGTTATTCATGCGGCATAACCCGGCTTTGCCTACAGCCAAGCAACGTAGAGAAGGGGAATTGCGAACAAGCTTTGGAGAGACGTCATACACCCCTATAAACTATTATTTGCTTTGGACTGGCCCCAGGCAATGTTTTCAGCCCACTGTGAATTGGGGGAGGGGGGCGCGGCCATTTTGCTAGGGATCATTTTCAAAAGCTTTGAATTGCTTTGAGACAAAACTAGCCACCGATTCGAATTTCCGGAGTTTCCGGGACAAGTATTTAAAAAGCCTACTTCCTCTGAAAACTGAACTTACGCAACAGGACGAGAGAGGAAAGAAGACGGCAAACCTTTTGTGACAAGCGTGACAATAATTATGACTAAAAAAACTTTCCGCCAAACTTCACCATGTAAAGCCCAGATCACGACAAAACACGCAAGTTATAGTCCTGTTACGTTTGTCACACAACGTTCTGCCGTCCTCTGTCGATAGCTTTCTGAAATAGTGTGACATTGTTTTTGTTTTTTATTACTTTGCCATTGCGTTACTAGGAGCTGTCAAGGTAATCATTTTTTGATCGGATTACAGATAATTCGCTTTTACGCTTAATAGGTTAGATGTTATTATAGTAAACGGAATGATGTATCACGTCAATCAACGTTGTCGGTTCTTAACGTGAACAGGAACAATGAACAGATGTTACTGATGTATTTTAGGTTGCATGCTCACGCGATATATTCAGATGTAATCAGCTTTTGTACGGAACGGGTCCTTTTTGGAAATACAGTAGATCACTTTCGAAGGAGTTGGATTTATTACTCATTCTCAACACCCTCTTCTTTCTGCCATCTTGTTAATGTATGTAAACTCATACACTACCATAAATTGCTCCAAACCTTTCTCTAAAGACGCGTGATTTGCTCTTCGACATTCAACCAAATTTCTTTCAGCAGTTTGGCTCAAAGACGCTACTAAAATGACAAGAATACTGTTGACAGGTTTTTTTAAAAAATCTTATTTTAGTGCTCAGTTATATCTTTGTGATGTAAAAAAAACCTTAATATTTTCTGAGTGCTCATTTTCGCATTTGCGTATGTCCATTCTTCAAGCGTGTATTTTCTATGTCCTCACTACATCCTCATTACCCCACCTCAAAATGGGAAAAAAGCGCGACTGCTGAGGCATAACCACTCAAATTATCAACAGCCATCAGAGTAGAAGAGGTGGGGCGGGTCACGAAAATTAATCTGGTCCTTGCCTGTTCCAGGCGTTTAGATAGTAGAGCGCAGGAGAAAAATTCACGAAAAATAATTGAGGGGAGAAAAGGAAATAAAGGAAGGGAACTCGAAGGGAACGCGTTCCCTCGCTCTTACCCCATTCTCCCCTCATTCCCGCCTCCCCCCCTGCCCCGTTTTCCCGGTGTACAATTTAACTCACTCCCCACAATCTGACCGCCGCACTCTACTACCTGAACACTGGAATGTGGTCCTAGAGTTTTTTGCCTTTTTCCCCTCTGCGGAGCCTGGTTCCAGGCTATTCGAGGGGGGGGGGGGGGGGGGAAAAAGCTTTCCCGCACGCCCACCAGGGTTGGGGGGCGAAAAACACCCTGGAGATATGCCCCCAAACACACAAAAATAAAAAAAAATTTCTGCGAAGCGCCGAAAAATTCGCGGTATAAAAAAAAGAAAAAAAAAGAGAAGAAGGGGGGGGGGGGGGGGGGGGGGTAAAGCATTACTGACGACTGCCTAAAGGCTTTAGGCATGCACAATCCTGAGGTAATTACGCGCACAAACACGCAGATTATACAAAATTTCTGCGATGAGCCGATTAATTATGCGGTTATAGAACAGACAAAATAGCACTATTCCTGCGGCCGCTCAAAATAGCAATAAGCACAATCTGAAAACTTAAGCAAGCACATCAGCAGTCAGTTTGTAGTGACAGTTGTAGTTTCTTCCAATCCTAGCTACAAAGCAGAACCTTAATTGCCCCTGCAGGGATTTCGCCCAGAAGGCGAAATCCCGAGGAGGCACTCTAGTAACTTGCGCGTATATTAAGGAAAGTACTTACAGTTGAAATATACAGTCATACAGTCTGCAGTATAGAAAAAATCTCGATTTGCTTGAACAGGGGCCGCGAAGAATCGCTAGGTAATGATGACGTTTCTGTTGTTTGCGCCCGCAAGTACGAAATGGTTAGGTTGACGCAAAACACAAAAAATCCCGAAAGGATCAGCTTACAATAGGTAAATTTTGTGACCTTAATTGTGCAGTCATACAAAACAACCAAAAGACCCTCGTTAAGTGCAGATGAAGTTATAAGGTGCGTACCACAGTGTATATTAGTAATACTAAGTGAGTTTGCCAGATACGAGTTCACAAATCTTTGATTGGAACCTTCAGCTGAACCTTGCCAGACACTCTTTCTCTCTCTTTGACCGGAATAAGACTCGGCCCAAAACAAGCAAGACGAGTGAATGGTTGAACGGCTAGCTTATCACTAGCAGAACGATGGACGATTACAGAAATTCACCGACCATCAAATTCTGTGCTGACTTATTCCCTGCTCACAGATGTCCTTCCGCTATAACGTTTAAAATAAGACTAGAGTGTGCGAGCGTGAATTGATCAAACGTCCTTTTAATTTCTAAGGCCTACTTTCCGGCAAATGAAATATTGTAAAAAGTGAAAAAGAAATAGCGAAAAATTAAACTTCTAATTAAATCTTTTCTTATGGTTTAGAATCAACTTTTCTCGAAACTGAGAATGTTTTTTGTAAATCGAACCGAAACTGTGCATGGAACCTTGCTTTTATTTCCTGTATTTATCTCACCTATAGTATGGAATATGTGTGAACATCTTCATTATGAATCGGTAGATTTCAAAAAGCTACACAAGGAGCAAGAATACTATATACAGAGCGGGGGCAGCCGTAGTGTCAACTATTACTAGTTTATAGTAGCAACATGAGCCAATTATTAACGAACGTAAAAGTAAAGGTAACAAGTTGAATGTAACAGCTCGGACTGATAATAAATACAAACAAAAGATACCTGTGATACAATTTTCTACGATTTGTAGTTAGATGTGATAGAGTCAGTTTTATAGTTTCTTAAGAGATTTAAACATCGTTTTACTATGCTTTTAGTTACACAGTTGATGTTTTTTATTCTTTTGGCTTATTTTGCAATTCTGAAGACGTGAGTAGATCGGTTTACGCTTACTGTCTAGAAAGCTGAGAAAGGTCACCATTTAGTCAAATTCTCTGTTCAGTTACTAGGTTTAATCCCGTATTTTTGTAGTTTTACTTTACCTATCTTTTAGTTATGCGTAGGATTGGTATTTTCTTAGGCTTGTTTTACTGTACGTAGTTTTTGCTATCGTGTTTTATCGTTTCTCTTTTCAACACCTATTATTTGCAAGTTAGGCGTGACTTGGCCGTTAAATTTTAATCCCTTCTAATCAGTGTATCTGTTTTATGCTTTTGACTCGTTTCCTGTCACATAAGTATCTGTTTACTTGAGTATAAATACGAGTACAGTACTTTTGTCTTATTTCCTCGATTTGAGTTGGCTCGGCAACTCCCCAGAAGGTCTCGATCTCTGGTAATTTTTAGCTCATGGTAACGTAGTCATGCCATGGGCTTTTGGAGGCACTCGAATGGCACTCGATCACTCACTCACTCACTCACTCACTCACTCACTCGATTCTCATTAATTTATTCATTAAAGTCAGATTAAACACGTTACTCCTACCTCCCTTACTTAGTATTACTTTTTTCCAACTGCCTTTTACGTATATGTGTGGAATATTCTAGAGGGTACTAGTAAGGCGAATTTTTTTCCCCGACACATCAATTATAGAGATGGGTTTTGTATAAATAACAATATTTTAAAGAACACTGATAATATCATCCGCAAGAAAGGGACTTAGAATTGTTAAAAGGACATTGAAATAATTGAGCGTGGATCATTGTTGTATATTTGGACGAATTTTGCACATTTGTTTCCGATATTGTACTTGATATGGAGAGGATGCTATCAACAGGAGTGTGAAAGAGCTATTGCAGCCTGACGATGGGATTTCGTTTTTAGCGAAAAGCAAATAAGCCAAAGAGCCTTATAATCACTGCAAAAAACTGTCCTCGAATGGTAAAAGCGACATTGAGGAGTATCTGTTGAGGTTTATTCAGTTATTTGGACGAATCCTTTCGACCATTTGTCTTCGTATGCAAACAGGGAATGAATTAATGTTGTGTCAACTAGAAGCACAGGTTTTAGAACCAACAAGCGTTACGCTATTTTGCTTAAATTCTTAGGTGATCTTTGCCTTAAAGTAGGCTTTTGTTTGTCGGTGATTCCATTTAGCAGTGCTATTAATGTAATTTCTACGATTTCCTACAAGAAATGCTGCGCTGGTATAAACAAGTCTCTGACAAAAGNAGGACCTGGGG